AGCTGTCAGCTGTCCATAACTCAGTACTGAGAGCAATGAAGAGATTGATTTTTCCTGAACTCCCCTCGGATCTTACCTGCCCCACCCAAGGGGTGGCCAGTTCATTTGAGTGAGGCGCTTAGCAAAATACCCTCTTAAGTTTCCCCTTCCGATGTCAGCCCAGTAATCTTACTGGGTGGCACCACAGCAGAAAGCAGCCGTGCTGCAATGAAGCTGGCAGTTTAATTTCCAGTGTCCTGGAGCGACAGTACGTCCAGGGCAATGGGAAAAGTTAAAATGGCAGCTCTTAGACCTAGCAGGCTGGCATTTAATCAGGGCAAAAGGACTAGTTAAGAAAGCCTCTTGCAAGTATGTCAGGTGGGTCACTGCTGGAGCACTGGGAAGCTGCCTGAGGATATCACATGCTGGCCCCAATCCTGAGTCCAGGGGTGACTGTTGTTTGCTACTGTTGATTTTTTTACCTACTGCTTGAATTTACCCTCCCCCAGCCCGTTTTAAAAATGTGTATGCTATAAGGCAGGGGTCAGCAAACTTTTACAGCAGGGGGCCGGTCCACTGCCCCTCGGACCTTGTGGGGGGCCAGGCTATATTCTGGGGGGGGGGGGGTTGAACAAATTCCTATGCTCCACAAATAACCCAGAGATGCATTTTAAATAAAAGCACACATTCTACTCATGTAAAAACAGGTGGATTCCCAGACCGTCCGCGGGCCGGATTGAGAAGGAGATTGGGCCGGCCCCGGCCCCTGGGCCTTAGTTTGCCTACCCATGCTATAAGGTCTCATGATGGGGATTGTTGGACCAGGTGCTTACCCCCACACTTCATGAAGGGGGTTTCTCTCATCTGATTTCTCTCCTCACAACTTCCCAAGAGGATTAATTCTACCTAGACCATCCCTCACAAGCAATGATCTAGTCAACTTTTTTATACATTCACTGATGGGGTTTCTGCAAGATCCCTTGCTGTTTGGTTCCACTGCCTGTCTCCCCTTCCTCATCACCCACATTGAGCGAGACTTTTCCGTGATATCCTTAAAACCGAAATCGATGCTTTGGAAACTGCTGCCTGGGGCTACATAGACTCAACTGTTCCATGAACAAACATTTACATTTGTTTCTGCAGAAGACTGTCAAAATTCCAGAGGTTCCTATAGATACAGACTTCCTGAAGAAACCTATTGATAGCTACACGATAGTCAAAGATTAGGATCAGCAGCCATCTCCAGCTGCAATCTCTGTGTTGGCCCAATAAAAGATAGAAATTCACCTATTTTGTATTTCAGACTAGAGGACAAGATGTGTAAACTGCAGAGACTGTCCTGGGACTAAGAAAATTCACATCACATACACCATCCATTCCTATACTGCAAGGACCTGTATTTTGGGTCATTTTGTGGCTGCTTTCTGGCAGGTTTCAGAAAGAAAGTAGGGTTGTGGCTCTGGGATCGTGTTTATAAAGCACAAGGCCTACTCCATTCTTCCATCGCCTTGGTGTTTCTGTTGCATTGAGAACCCCCAGCCTAATCTTTTATTCAGAAAAGAAACTCCACATTCCATACAGCCAGTCTTAACAATGTCGCAAAAATTTGCATAATATGCTTAATTTGCATGAATGCATTCCGGTTGCAGAATCTTCCTCTTAGTGGCGAATATTCTTTCAGGCGTGCAGATCGGGCTGGATGTTTAGGCTGCCTTTAAAATACTGTATATGCATGATATGCCAATGCAACTCAGAATCACACTCAGAAGAATCAAGTATGCAAGCTTTGCACCCGGGCATGTATTCACTTTGTATAATGGCTACTAGGTTTTCATATCGTCAAGGCAGTTGTGAGATTCAGACACGCATACAGTAGAGCTCTCTTGGGACCAAACAACTTCAGAATGCAGGGTGTTCCAGCTCTTAAATTGTATGGATGTGTCTGCACTTTTTTTTGTTTACGGAAACCCTCCCTGAATGTAAAATTCTAAGATATCAGGGAGGTTAGCCTGGAACTCCTCACTAATGTATTATTTCCCCGCAAATAGAGTTTTTGACATTGAATGCTCCTTATGCAACCCCTACGTTTTGAAGTAGTACTATTTCAGTAGCTGTTTTTACTGAATATGCATATTGCCCCATTTTGATAGACGCAGAAGTGAGAACCACACGGGAATGGATACAGGGAAAGGCAAGGATTCTGGAAGTATATTACAGCAAAAGAATGGCAGAGGTGCTGAACTAAGCTAGATCAGTGTTCCCCAACCCCCGGGCCGCGGCCCTGTGCCAGTCCGTGGATCAATCGGCACCGGGCCGCCCGAGGAACTTCAAATCATTTCACTGTGGCGGGCGGCCGAGGCGCAGAGCATTGCGCCCTCTCAAGCCCGCCCATTGTGTGACAATAACGAATTAAAATCCGCTATTGTTACACTGATGCTCCTCCTGGCCAATCAGGGAGCGGGTCCTCCCGCTTCCTGATTGGCCGAAAGGCAAACCTCATGCCATTGGCCGAGGAGGAGGCGCCACGGGAGGACTGAGGACTCGAGGTCGGAGACACGGGGACTGAAGAGAAGCTGCTGTGAGGTAAGCTCAAAACAAGCGGGCCACAGAAAAATTATCAAACATTTACCGGTCCGCGGTGATAAAATGGTTGGGGAGCACTGAGCTAAATGACTGTTATATCCATAGCATGCAGGAACACATCTAGGGTGTGTGTTTTCCTTACTTATTTAAAAGTGGGGGTGAGTCCTTACTGGGACAGCAAAAGGTGGAGAGCCTTATCTCATCCCTCTGCAGTGTGACTGAAATGCCATCTGTCCTCCAACTCACAAATATATGAGGGTCTAAGAGTCTTATGAAGAAGTTCCCTTTGACATTAAATTGGACTCCCCACTAGCTCCTGGCCATGCATACAAGATTGGTTTTTACCACTTCCAATCCCTCACCATCAAGGGCAACATGGCAGATCACCATGCAATTCCAATTGCACTGGGGAGGGAAGAGATACCCTCCACTTTCTCCATGTCTGTAATTGAGTAAACAAAGCTAGATGTGTAGCTGTATACTACAGTATTTTTCGCTCTATAGGACACACTTTTCCCCCTCCAAAAGTTAAGGGGAAATGGTTGTGCATCCTATGGAGCGAATGCAGGCTCCTTGGCTTCAGCGAAAGCAACGTGAAGCCTCCAAAGCGCAGAGGGAGCGCTCCCTCCGTGCTCCGGAGGCTACGAAGGGGTGCGCACCAACCCCTCTCGCTCTCCAGGCTTCAGGGATAGCCGCCTGAAGCCTTTGGAACGCAGCGGGACCTCATGCTGCGCTCCAAAGGCTTCGGGTTCCTTTTGCTTTGGGGCCGCAGCGAGAACTCGCGCTGCACTCTGAAGACTTCAGGTTCCTTTTGCTGAAGCCGGGAGAGCAAGACTCTCCTGGCTTCACAGAGAGGGAGAGCTGTGCAGCGCCCCTTCAGCAAAGCGGGAGGAGAAATGGAAGGGGATCCGTTTCTCCTGCCGCTTCGCTGAAGGGGCGCTGAGCAGAGAGGGGGAGAATTTTTTTTCTTGTTCTCCCCCTCTAAAACAAGGTGCGTCCTATGGTCGGGTGCATCCTATAGAGCGAAAAATACGGTATGTACCTAGCAAACATCTAGCCTGGCCCTGATCACAGCAGCTACAGTAGAAGGGACACTGGTCAAGGCACACAAAGTTCCACTCCTCTTAACACCTCCAGCTTCTTCCAAATCTCCACTGGGTTTCCCCATAAACAAGACAGCAAACTTTCCTTCTGTAACCGTATGAACTTAAACACACACCCTTTTCAAAAAGCACAGAGCTGAAAATTCCTAAATGCAACAGATCCCATGTTTGCACAGTGACTTGAGGAAGCAAAACAACCTGCGTGTACAGAGCGTAAATTCCAAAATGTGGACATTTGATTGAAAATTCGCTGGGAATTCTTAAAGTGGATCATTTCAAGTTTCTCTTGAACTCTGCCCTGATGCAGTACAGGCAAGAAAGAGGTGAGAGATACCGCATTTTTCGCCCTATAAGACGCACCAGACCACAAGACGCACCTAGTTTTTGGAGGAGGAAAACAAGAAAAAAAATATTCTGAATCTCAGAAGCCAGAACAGCAAGAGGGATCGCTGCGCTTGCTGTTCTGGCTTCTGTGATAGCTGCGCAGCCTGCATTCGCTCCATAAGACGCACACACATTTCCCCTTACTTTTTAGGAGCGAAAAAGTGAGTCCTATAGAGCAAAAAATACGGTAGTTGCCTGGGGCTGCCAAGGCTGCAGTCCTAGGCACTGGTTAGGGTAGGTGTGGTGGGGCAGAACGACGGAAGCGTCCTCCTAACGCCAGCTTACCTGGATGGGGCTGGGGTGGAGTAGAGCAGTAGCAAGGTCAGGGCCACACCGATGTGCCAGCAGAGCCAAACCAGCACTCGCGCTGGTGCATCTGTGCCACCCTGAGCTTGCCACTGCCCTGCCCTGCCCCAGGCCATGAAATGAAGTTGAAGTGGCGCCAGTCAGCTCTGCCTCAACACACCAGCTGCTATTGCTAGGCGTGATCAGGAGCGAGCCCCAATGAAGAGGTGTACTTCCAAGTCAGCAAGCATAGGATTGGGCCCTAAATGTGTTTGGGTCCTTAAAACCAAGGCAGCAATGGTCGTTCTTAAGGCTTTAGTTCCTTTCTTGCCAGAACCTTCCGTAAAATAGGGATGAGGGCCCTGTGGGTCTGCCATCAGCCCCTGACAGCATGGCGAACGGTCAAGAATAACAGGAGTTGCAGTTCAGCAGCATTTGTAGGGCCACAGATTCCCCATCCCTGTCCTAAAAGTTAACACAAGGATCCCTTCGCTGTATAAACATCCCCATCATCTCCACATGCCTACTAGACGACACATTGCACATACCCTGACCTGACTGGAACAGACTTTTTGAACGGAAAGTGAACAACGCAACTGAAGGACACCTTCATGTATATAAACAATTCTTTATCCTTCCATTGTCAGAGAGAAGGAGAAAAGAAGAGGGGCAGAGGGAGGAAGAGAAGGAGATTTCCATGCATTAAATTAAAGATGAAATGCACAGGTAATATATCTTATTGCAAGATGCCATTTTGCTTTAAGAAACATGTTTATTGCACCATTATTATTTTGGAGGGATGGGTAAAAGTTCAGAACCTCTCTGGTTGGTGTCTCCCAGTCAGAGAGACCAATGGGATGGGTTGGAAAGGCAGGATGGGTCTTCTGGCAGGATTTCCTTTGAAAGATGAGGTAAAAATGTTTTCAAATATCTGGATTGGTTGGCGCCAAGACTCGTTCAGAAGGAACCAGGCAGGGGCTGGTTGTTTTTTTTGTGTGTGTTGTTGTTTTGATTTTTAAAAAATTAAATAAATAAATAAAAACCCCACCACACTTCCAAGGAGTTTAGTCATAACAAAGGAGGGTCTGGGGGGTTTTTTGGGGGGAGGGGGGTTGTCTCTCCTTTCACCACAAGCTGGATGGAGAGAGAAAGAAAAAAAATTCACATTGATGGGAGGGTAGGAAGGTGCAACCAAGTTGAGGCACTCCCCACGCACAACAAGGAAGAGGCGGGTGGGGTCTGCGGCGGCAACACCACGGAACCAGGCAACCTCCTGCGTCGGACAGTATACAGCGTGCGGCCTGCCCCGTAAGGGCTCGGAATGGAGCCTGTGCGGAAGATGAAGGCCTCAGCTTCTTCCTTCCATGGGAACTGTGGAGCCTCTCCCTCCTGGTAAAGGCCCCGTAGGCTGTTATTATACCGTCGTGACCCTCATGACAACCTCGCGGCTGGAACTGGAGCCCCCGCGATGTTCGTTAGGCCGCAGGTGGCTGAGAATGTGCAGAATTGTATAACCACAGTGATGGTTCAAAATAGTCCTAACCCGCTGGCCCCGCTGGGAGGTCCTCTCACTCCCCGAGGAGGGGTTCGTCCGTGAATTCCGCCCTCCGGGCTTTGTGCTCCCGCCAATTGGTTCCCCTAGGTCCTTGGCTTTGTCGTAGTTCAGCACCTTCCACTGCTGGTTCACCGCTTGCCAACGCTTGAATATTCGATACACCGAGGAGCCTTCGTGGATAATCAAGCCTGTCGAAAGAAGGAAGGAAATATAAGATGGTTGCCTGGGTTCAGGGCTGGGGGAACTCTGAAAATAGGGTCCAATAAGGCACCTCAGTTTCTTTTAGCCTCTCATCATGTTGGCCTGATCTTTGACTCCTCACTCTCCTTTGTTCCCCATATTCAAGCACATCACAAAAATACAGCCCTTCTTTGTCTCTTCTGCTCTTCAGCAAAGACTCAAGAAACTCTGACCCTCACCCTGCTTTTCATCTTCTCTTGCAACCTTCTCCTCTCTACCCTTCTGTGGTTTTACCTATGTCCCTTCAATTTTATCAGGCACTCTGACAAACGCATTTGCCTCACTCCTTGCTCTGACCCATATGTCCTGAAATTGCTACGCTGGCTTCTAGTTTGCTTTGTGGTCGATCTCTTTGTTCATATCATCCCAGCAACAAATCCCTGCCCAAGTCCCTGCCCTCCACCACCACCAGTCACCGCTCTTGCTCCCGCAAGCACTTCCAATTGCCTTTCTCCCTTGCTGCCCCATAAGCTTGGAACTGCCTCCCAGCACACACCTGTGTGACCCCTCGCTCTCACTTGCACCAAATCCTTCCTCAATCCATCCCTTGGAGCCTTTGGCACAACCCAAGTTCTCTTGCTACACTTTAGGGCACAGTCCTAAGCTAGTCTACCCAGAAGTACTGTATTTTTCACTCCATAAGACGCACTTTTTTCCTCCTAAAAAGTAAGGGGAAATGTCTGTGCGTCTTATGGAGCCAATGCGTCGTCCCTGGAGCCGAATTGCCCTGGGGCAAAAAGCAGATCGTGCTTTTTTTTTTGTTTGTTTAGAAAGAGGGAAAGGGGGTGTTGAAACAAAGCCGCTGATCAGCTGATCAGCAAGCGATCGGAAGGGGAGATAAGGGACTCTAGCAATAAAGGAGGCTGCCTGGGAGGGGGGAGGTAAAAGCACATGGATCCTCAGGATGTTTGTACTGGGTCACCCCAAATTCACCATCAGATCGCATAGCATGTCCATGGCTACAGCCTGCACCAAAAAATCACGCATCCATTGTTTCGTGGGGCCGCAATGGCACAAAAACGTGGTTACAAAGCACGGATCCACATGGATTCTCAGGATTTTTGCATTGGGCTACACCAAACTCACCATCAAATCACATATCATGTCTGTGGCCACAGCATGAACCACAAAAATCATACATCCACTGTTTCATTCAGAATATTTTTTTTTCTTGTTTTCCTCCTCTAAAAACTAGGTGCATCTTATGGAGTGAAAAATACAGTATGTCAATGGGGCTTCCTCACTGGTTAAGCAGGGTTAGGACTGCAGCCTAAGCCTCTAACCAAGGCCAAGCACATGCAATTGGAGTGATGGTACATTATTTTCCCCACTTGCCACTTCCCCCCCCTTTCTTCTATCAAACTTCAGATTGGATGCTCCTCAGGGCCTTCTTGCACCACACAGGTTGAGGGTACTACATAAGCAAATGAACAAATGAATACAGTGGTGCCTTGGTTCTCAAATGCCTTGGTACTCAAACAATTTGGAACCCAAACACTGCAAACCCGGAAGTGTTCTGGTTTGCCAACTTTTTTCAGAAGCTGAACGTGCTCTGTTTTGAGTGTTACGCTTCCGTTTTGAGTGCCACACTTCCGTTTTGAGTGTTACACTGAGGTCTGTCTGTTTTTGCTATTTATTTTGCATTTTGTTTTTGCGGCTCTTTCTTTTTGTTACTGTGTGGAACCCAGTTCAGCTACTGATTGATTGATTGTGTGACTGCAGTACATTGTTTATTGCTTTCATTTTATGGATCAATGGTCTCGCTAGATAGTAAAATTCATGTTAAATTGCTGTTCTGCGGGTTGTTTTCAAAACTCTGGAATGGATTAATGCATTTTGCTTTACTTTCTATGGGAAAATGCACTTGGTTTTGGAACGCTTTGGTTTTGGAACGGACTCCTAGAACGGATTAAGTTTGAGAACCAAGGTACCACTGTATATGAATGTTAAGAGGTGAGGTCTGAGTCCATCCGGATTGCACCTCGATCCATTTCCACCTCCAGCTTAGCCTGAGTTCGTCACTTTGCTACAAAGCACCCGTGTCACTGGAATAATTTCTCTTATGCGGCTCTGTGCATGCTCATGCGATTTCCAGCACATATGCGTTTGGACGGGGGAGACCCAGGTTCAAGTCTCTGCTCAGGAACAAAGCTTTCAGGGTGGCTTTGGGCAAGGTACCATCACTCAACCCAAAGCCATTTCACAGGGCTGCTGTACAAGAATAGACTGTGCCTTGCACAATCATTTACATGGCGAAGTAATTCTCTTTATAGCTAGTCCTCATGATTTGTGAAGGGATATTGGAAAAGTATCCATAGGGCGCAGATCCTCTGTCTTGCAAGACTTGTCACCTAGCTGTTTCTCCTGGCCTCTAGTTATTAAAGGTAAAGGTAAAGGTAAAGGGACCCCTGACCATTAGGTCCAGTCGTGGCTGACTCTGGGGTTGCGGCGCTCATCTCGCTTTATTGGCCGAGGAAGCCGGCGTACAGCTTCCGGGTCATGTGGCCAGCATGACTTAGCTGCTTCTGGCGAACCAGAGCAGCGCACAGAAACGCCGTTTACCTTCCCGCCGGAGCGGTACCTATTTATCTACTTGCACTTTGACGTGCTTTCGAACTGCTAGGTTGGCAGGAGCAGGGACCGAGCAATGCGAGATCACCCTGTCGCGAGGATTCGAACCGCCGATCTTCTGATCAGCAAGTCCTAGGCTCTGTGGTTTAACCCACAGTGCCACCCGTGTCCCTCCTCTAGTTATTAGGCCGCATCTTTTCCTACACCCCAACCACCTACCCAAAATAAAACCTGCATATCGAGCCGTTTAAGTTAAGCATATTTGCATGCATTATATGGTTCTGCATGAATGTATTTCTTGAGTGTGGGGTGTTGAGCTTTCCTGGCAGTTCCCTGGGTAGATTTTGGATTAAGTTATGTGCTGTTTTACTCCTATTCCCCATCCCGATTAAAAAACAAAACATCAGCTTTCATTTTCCATTTTCATGGAATGGCTACCCAGGCCAAGAATCGGTTTTAGCCTGGCATTCATGAACTAAGGGCAACAAAAGCTCAAGAAGACATAACTGATTTATGCTGCATACTCTCTCCCTCTCACCTCCTTCCCTTCCCTTTCTTTCCCATGTGCTGAAATTTAAATGTGAAGGCCCTTGGGGCAGGGACTTGTCTTTTGCTTATCGTATTTTTTGCTATATAAGACTCACTTTTTCCCTCCTAAAAAGTAAGGGGAAATGTGTGTGCGTCTTATGGAGCGAATGCAGGCTGCGCAGCTATCCCAGAAGCCAGAACAGCAAGAGGGATTGCTACTTTCACTGCGCAGCGATCCCTCTTGCTGTTCTGGCTTCTGAGATTCAGAATTTTTTCTTTTCTTGTTTTCCTCCTCCAAAAATTAGGTGCGTCTTGTGGTCTGGTGCGTCTTATAGAGCGAAAAATACGGTATATCACTCTGCAGCATAACATGTAGCATAGTCAGAAGCGTACCCAGGCTTCCTTGCACCCTTGGCAAGGAGATGTACCTGTGCCCATGTCCCTTGTGCCCTTTGCAGACGAGCCTATGCACCTTGCCCAGCCACCCAGAGCAGTGGAGGACTCCCCAAGGAGTGTGCGGACAGGCAGGTGAGCTCCGAGCCACTCCAAGCCAGAGCAGAGAGGTGCGATTTTTGCACCCTCCTGGGCCCCCACTCTTGGCAGAGGCCAACCCCTAGGTATGCCACTGGGCATAGTGGTTAGAGTATCAAATTAGAACCTGGAAGAAAACAGGGTTCAAATCCCCAACTGGCCATGAAACTAACTGGGTGGCGTTGAGCAAGTCACTACAAATGTACAAATGATGGTGGCAGAGACATAATATTACATGTAAAAAGGACCCTTTCCTCCCTATGATAATGCACAGACCAGATTCTTGGTAACAAAAGGGTGTAAATGTATTATTTCATGACATGGAAACTGCCTTTACGGATCGTGCAGACTCAGGAGAGTGAATAAACAAACATCTAGGAAATGTTGGTTTTGTGATTAAGCAAATATGAAATATATTTGGCGGGAGTGTGAAATAATATGAAACCTTTAGAAATAGGTAAATATCATTATTTCGGAGATAATCAAGTAAGTTCCACCTGTCTCCTCTTCTTTGGGGCATGCCAAAATATTATGTTAACATCATGCTTAGGGAATTGGCATATAAAATAATTCCGCAAGACTGAATGTCGCAGGGAAACTTTCCCAAAATATTGAAAACCTGGCTAAATCAGCATCACGAGTCTTTGCGAACTATGCATATCAATAAATTAGCAATGTTGATACAATTACAGCGGAATTGGTGCCCTTGAGTGTTGACCCCCACTAGCAAGGCCCTTGTGTGGTACAACATGCAACAGTCTCAGCCAGTCAGGCCCTTTGGCTGGGGTTAATGACAGGTATAGTCCAGAACATCAGGAAGGTGCAGAGTCTGGGAAGGTTTATTTACAGGAATTTCTGAGGGATGCAGGGTGCATTCATTCAGTGTTTTGGAATAAGGTTGTGACAGAAGTTTGATAGATAATAACATGCATACAGAGGGCGACATGGGGGACGTGGGTAGCGCTGTGGGTTAAACCACAGAGCCTAGGACTTGCCGATCAGAAGGTCGGCGGTTGGAATCCCGGCAATGGGGTGAGCTCCCGTTGCTCGGTCCCTGCTCCTGCCAACCTAGCAGTTCGAAAGCACATCAAAGTGCAAGTAGATAAATAGGTACCACTCCGGCAGGAAGGTAAACAGAGTTTCCGTGCGCTGCTCTGGTTCGCCAGAAGCGGCTTAGTCATGCTGGCCACATGACCCGGAAGCTGTACGCCGGCTCCCTCAGCCAATAAAACGAGATGAGCGCCGCAACCCCAGAGTCGGCCATGACTGGACCTAATGGTCAGGGGTCCCTTTACCTTTACCTAGAGGGCGATATGTCTGTAACGCCTTTTTTTTGTTTCCTTATTTCTGTGCGTGTTGAAAAATAATCCCTCCCCCCCCTCCCGCAACATATTCTGGAACTCCAAGAGACCAGCGAGTTATAAATACCATCTCCCAACTGGATGCCACCCAGTGACAATCAATTGTGCTCCCGCCATCCTCTAACGTGGGTCATTACCATGCGACACGTGTCCCTGTTGAATCAATGGGAAATGGAAAAGTCATTCATTCATTTCCCAATGACAGCGCACCGCTCGCTTCCCACAAGGGGCCTAGCTGTTATCATTCTGTCTCGCCAGAGCTCATCCATCAGTGCCACAAACGCGGCTCGGCCTCTTTAGTGAATGTCATTGGCTTCCAATTAAAAAAGGCTTTCTCTCCCTTTGACGGTGTGCGGTGCTGGAGGTAAAATCTCTAGCCATCTGCTGAGGAACCCAAAGGCAAAGGCAGCCACAGGGCGTACCAAGCCCTAATTATGCCGCCCACGCCTTCAACCACGCACGAGGCCATCGACAAAGGCACGTGACACAAAAGCTGCCGGCAATCTTCTCATCAGGACACACCTTTGGAGAAAAGGGTAACTGCGGCCCACTGAACAGATTAAACATGCATCTAAATAATATCACGGGTGCCCAGAAGCACAGCGCTTGAACCAGGGACCTTGGCTCTGAGAACCTAGTGGCTATTAAGCTCAGTGGCAGAGTGCAAGGCTTTGCATGTCTATCAGCTCCACCTGGTACACAGGCTAAGACCCTACCTGCCCGCGGACTGCCTCACCAGAGTGGTGCATGCTCTAGTTATCTCCCGCTTGGACTACTGCAATGCGCTCTACGTGGGGCTACCTTTGAAGGTCACCCGGAAACTGCAATTCATCCAGAATGCGGCAGCTAGACTGGTGACTGGGAGTGGCCGCCGGGACCACATAACACCGGTCCTGAGAGATCTGCATTGGCTCCCAGTACGTTTCCAAGCACAGTTCAAAGTGTTGGTGCTGACCTTTAAAGCCCTAAACGGCCTTGGTCCAGTATATCTGAAGGAGCATCTCCACTCCCATCGTTCTACCCGGACACTGAGATCCAGCACCGAGGGCCTTCTGGCGATTCCTTCATTGCGAGAAGTGAGGTTACAGGGAACCAGGCAGAGGGCCTTCTTGGTAGTGGCGCCCGCCCTGTGGAACACCCTCCCTTCAGATGTGAAGGAAATAAGTAGCTATCCTATTTTTAAAAGACATCAGAAGGCAGCCCTGTTCAGGGAAGTTTTTAATATTTAACGCTGTATTGTTTTTAATACTTGATTGGGAGCTGCCCAGAGTGACTGGGGAAACTCAGCCAGATGGGCAGGGTATAAATAATAAATTATTATTATTATTATTATTATTATTATTATTATTATTACATGCAGAATCCCAGGTTCAATTCCTGGTGTATCATGGTAGGGTTGAGAAAGACCTCTGTCTGAAACCCTGGAGAAGAGTACTTGTCAGTCCTTGTAGACCAGGGTGGTAGATTGGGATCTGCTGGTAGATCCCTGGATAATTTGCAGTAGATCAGTGGTTCCCAAACATTTTCCCGCATGGACCATTTGAAAATTGCTGAGGGTCTTGGGAGACCACTTAATAATTTTTTCCACCTGTTGCAGCTATTATAATGTAATGTACTGTATGGCTTTTAATTGTATTTGTACAACCTCTTTTATTTCTTTCTATTGTATTGTATTGTATTGTATTGTATCCCATTAAATTCAAATTTTAATACAATAACATACAATATAAGAAAGAAAAGAAGCAATAGAAAGATAATTAAAAATCAACATGAACATTTCATAGAATAGAATCATAGAATCATAGATTTGCCCACATCATAGATGGCCCACAAGGGCCATCGAGTCCAACCCCCTGCCAAGCAGGAAACACCATCAGAGCACTCCTGACATATGGTTGTCAAGCCTCTGCTTAAAGACCTCCAAAGAAGGAGACTCCACCACACTCCTTGGCAGCAAATTCCACTGTCAAACAGCTCTTACTGTCAGGAAGTTCTTCCTAATGTTTAGGTGGAATCTTCTTTCTTGTAGTTTGGATCCATTGCTCCGTGTCCGCTTCTCTGGAGCAGCAGAAAACAACCTTTCTCCCTCCTCTATGTGACATCCTTTTATATATTTGAACATGGCTATCATATCACCCCTTAACCTCCTCTTCTTAATGTGATGGATGTGCCATCTCCCATATTCAGCCACAAATCCACAGACATGACGGGGACCATCTGAATGAAGGTGGAGTAGATCAGCCGATGAGCTGGTTCCCAATTGTATAACACTAGCAACATCAAAACAACTTTCCCCATCAAATTAGGCTGCTGAAATGAAATAAGGCTATCCAGGAGGTCAGGTCAGTTCTGATACCGACAACAAACTCCCTGGCTCAGAAAGAACCCTACCCTTTCATTCTAAGGGTATTTCATTAGCACCTGGCTCTCTGGTAAATTTTGAGAGGTTCTAGCTTAAAAAAACCCAACCAAAACAAAACAAAACACCACAAAGCACACCTGACAGGCTGTGATGTCTGCCCTCCCCTGGTGTAGAGAATGCTGATTTGGATGGGCCAATATTTAAATTTTGCCAGGCTTGGCTCCTTAGTCTGCAACTAGAGCCTCAACAGTGTCCAGCTGGAAACCAGAGTGTCAGGCAGAAAACCTACTCATACCAAGTCAGACCATTGGCTGTGCAAGTCTAGACCAGTAACTGGACTCTGGATAGCTGGATGAGGGCCAACAAACTGAGTTTGAAACCACTGGATAGCTCAGTTGGTTACAGCATGGTGCTGATGATACAAAGGTTGCAGATTCGATTCCCATATGGGACAAAGGCATATTCCTGCATTGCAGGGGGTTGGACTATCCTCAGGGTCCCTTCCAACTCTATGATTCTATGAATCCTGGCAAGACAGAGCTCAACCTCTAGTCAATATGCTTAGGATTGCACACATAGTGGATGGAGCCACATTAGTAGAGGAGGGAACGTGTGGCCCTCCAGATGTTGCCAGCCTTTGAGTCTGGTCTCTGACTTACTTAATGACTCTTATAAATTCAGATGCTTCCAACTCTTACATAGCAAAACCAGATCTATTGGTATTGACTTGGAACTCTTGTATATAATTCAAGTGAGCAATATATTTATTGCTGTATTCAAACCAGATTAAGGGGCATTGAAAAACAAAACATCGAGTCAGCTGCAAATAAAATTTGCTCCCCCAAGTTCTATGGTTTCAATACAGCAGATAACAGGGGCACTTATATCTCAAAATTAATAATTCCAGTCCAATGCAGGGCCTTTATATTGGCCTGACTGAACGTTTTCCCCTCAGGTTTTGTCAAGGGCAGATATTTAAACATCCCCAGAAACGACAGACATTGCGCATGTTCTTTGAATGTGCTGGACACTGTAGAGCAGGCTTCCTCAACCTCGGCCCTCCATATGTTTTGAGACTACAATTCCCATCATCCCTGACCACTGGTCCTGCTAGTTGGGATCATGGGAGTTGTAGGCCAAAAACATCTGGAGGGCCGAGGTTGAGGAAGCCTGCTGTAGCACATATCCTTTTCTACTGTCCATTGTACAACCAGCTACGCAAACATGTGCTGTTCCATTTTTTGGGTAGCCTAACATCACATCACAATGAAAATATTAGATTCTATCTGTCTGACATTAACCCAGAAGTAACTGTAAGGGTGGCTGAGTTTTTGTCAGTAGTATCTCTTAGAGTGGCGCATGGCACTATTTAGCGGGAAGAAATCCCACTGAAAATCCTCATCATTATATATTTGACATGGCTGTTTATTTGTATATATTTTAAATTTTTATACATGGATGTTGTATGATGTTTGTAATGCCAATTACAGTGGTTCCTTGGTTCTCAAACTTAATCCATTCCAGAAGTCCGTTCCAAAACCAAAGCATGCGTTCCCATAGAAAGTAATGCAAAGCAGATTAATCTGTTCCAGACTTTTAAAAACAACCCCTAAAACAGCAATTTAACATGAATTTTACTCTCTAACGAGACCACTGATCCATAAATGAAAGCAATAATCAATGTACTGTACTATAAAATTAATAAGACGGTATTGTAGATGATGAAAATAAAAATAAAAATTTATTTGCTCTGATGATAGTCATTGTTTGGATGGGGGGCTTTTATCCATTTCCGCAGACACACAATCAATTAATCAGTAGCTGAACTGGGTTCCACACAGTCACAAAAACAAATTAACCAAAAAAGCCTCAAAAACAAAAATGCAAAATAAATAGCAAATCCAAAAGCACCAAACTTAATCCATTCCGGAAGTCCGTTTGACTTCCTAAATGTTCGAAAACCAAGGCGCAGCTTCTGATTGGTGCAGATGTCCCAGAAACAATAGCCGACAACTGCATCGGACATTCGGCTTCTGAAAAATGTTTGAAAACCGGAACACTTACTTCCGGGTTTTCGGCATTTGAGAACCAAGGCGTTTGAGTACCGAGGCGTTTGAGAACCAAGGTACCACTGTAAAGGTATGGCGAAGTAAGTAAGCTGTACTACATGTGCCATTAGCCACTGGCCATGCTGGCTCCAGCTGATGAGAGTTAAGGGTCCAGCAATGCCTGGATGACCAGTTTCCTTGAACCAAAGCTAAGTTAAATTTAATGTGGGATCAGTAGAAAATAAAGTTATGTAGCCACTGAAGGTTCACTACTGCCCCAGCAAAAATGGATTAAAACACTACCTAAATTCAAGAAAATGGCCAAAAGCATTCCTGTGAGGTAAGACTTAGCCTTCCACTATTTTTATTTTGTCTTCAAATGGTTGTTGACATAGTCAGGGGTCTTCTCTGTACTATTTTCAATGTCCTGCTAAACCCTGTTTTGTTTAGGCAAACCTACCCAGGATCATAAAAGGGACGCGGGTGATGCTGTGGTCTAAAACCACTGAGCCTAGGGCTTACCGATTGGAAGGTTGGCGGTTCGAATCCCCATGATGGGGTGAGCTCCCGTTGCTCGGTCCCAGCTCCTGCCAACCTAACAGTTTGAAAACACGTCAAAGTGCAAGTAAATAGGTACCGCTCCAGTGGGAAGGTAAACGGTGTTTCCGTGCGCTGCTCTGGTTCACCAGAAGCGGCTTAGTCATGCTGGCCAAATGACCTGGAAAAACTGTCTGCGGACAAACGCCAGCTCCCTCGGCCAGTAAAGTGAGATGAGTGCCGCAACCCCGGAGTCGTCCGTGACTGGACTTAACGGTCAGGGGTCCTTTACCCAGGGACATATAAAGCTGTCATTCATTTTAAGATGTCATTCTATGTTATAATTTACATTATAACCACTGATTTTATTTCTGCTTTGAAATGTTTAGGTCTTGCTTTTAACTCCTGACTCTCATCGATAATGTTTCTTTCATGTAAACTGCTTAGGGGTTTTTTTACAATTCAGCAGTATACCAATTCTGTTAAATGAATAAAAATAAAATAAATACACAAGGGCTTATGTGGGTGTGCATCTATCTTCTCAGGTACTTAAAAAAGCACCTCCACACCCAACTACCATATATTTTGGAAAGCTGTTGGGACTTTTCACTATACATTGGGACACCTCTTAAGATACTGTAACCAAATTTTGCATGACAGTTCTGAGATCAAGGAACAGGTTTTGATCAATGCTTGGATACAATAGGGAGCCATTTTGAATCAAGATGGCGGGCTGAACCATTTAAGACTACACTGATGTTTTGGTTTCTTGCCATTCCTGAGCGAAGCCAGGTACAAGGCTGAAAGTATCAAATACGTCCCTGTCACAATTACAACAAAATGTACCAAGGACTAATTTAGCATCACTGGTCACGCTTCTGATAAGTTTTTAGGATGTGGTGATGGCAACAAGAGGAGATAGCTTTAAAAGGGGGTTAGACAAAAGCACAGTGGCTGAGCCAACCGGTGGCTAGAAGTCATGACGGCTATAGGCCACCTTTCGGATTTGAGGTATGATGCATCTGAAAATCTATTGCTGATGGGTTTGGGGGTGGGAACATGCCTGGGAGATGGAGTCATTTTGGACTCACAGCTGTCCATGGAGGCGCAGGCCAATTCTGTATCCAGGGCAGCTGTCTACCAGCTCCACCTGGTACGCAGGCTGAGACCCTACCTGTCCGCGGATTGTCTTGCCAGAGTGGTGCATGCTCTAGTTATCTCCCGCTTGGACTACTGCCATGCGCTCTACGTGGGGCTACCCTTGAAGGTGACCCGGAAACTACAACTAATCCAGAATGAGGCAGCCAGACTGGTGACTGGGGGCAGCCGCCGAGACCACATAACACTGGTCCTGAAAGACCTACATTGCCTCCCAGTACGTTTCTGAGCACAATTCAAAGTGTTGGTGTTGACCTTGAAAGCCCTAAATGGCCTCAAAAGCCCAGTAGACCTGAAGGAGCATCTCCACCCCCATCGTTCTGCCCGGACACCGAGCTCCAGCTCCAAGGGCCTTCTAGCGGTTCCCTCATTGCAAGAAGCAAAGCTACAGGGAACCAGGCAGAGGGCCTTCTTGGTAGTGGCGCCCGCCCTGTGGAACACCCTCCCATCAGAAGACAAAGAGATAAACAACTACCTGACATTCAGAAGACATCTTAAGGCAGCCCTGGTCAGAGAAGTTTTTAATGTATGACATATTAGTGTATTTTTGGTTTTTGTGGAAGCCGCCCAGAGTGGCTGGGGAGACCCAGCCAGATGGGCGGGGTACAAATAATAAATTATTATTATTACTACTTCTTTCATGTCCTGCTTCTGAGCTTCAGCGGAAGAATCTGGCTTGGCATTGTGACAAACAGAATAGCATACTAAAGTGGACCTTTGGTCTGAATCGGGCAGGCATCCTTTAATTTCCTTAGCTGCTCACAGCGTTTACTGGGGACAGACTGTGCATGAAAACCTGTAAAATTGGCGTGCTCCGACTGAGGTAGGCAGATTTAGGGGTTTTATGGCACTATGGCAACTAGGCCATATTGAGCCCAACATGGACGTCTGCTGTAAGCAGTTGTCTCCCATCTCTCCCATGCTGTTCAAGCATAAACTTTATTCTGTCAGCAATCAGGCTTCATTCCCAAGGTATTTTATGAACTATTTCAAAACACAAACACGCAAAACAAACATAAATCTGGCACTTGGATTAATATCTTCACTCAGAAAAGGAAGTCAGGTCCAAACGTCCAGAGATCACAGGAAGACACAATTAAATGAATGTGTGTGCACAGCGCCACTGAATGGTCTGGGAGCATCTGATGCTGGAGCAAGTGAGGGTCTGGCCCATCCCCTGAATGGGTGGCCACAGGCAGCCCCACAGAACACCATAGATATTGACTGTATTTTTCGCTCTATAGGACGCACCGGACCATAGGACACACCGGACCATAGGAGGGGGAGAACAGGGGGGGAAAATTCTCCCCCTCTCTGTGCAGCGCCCCTTCAGCGAAGCAGGAGGAGAAACGGAGCCCTTTCCATTTCTCCTCCCGCTTCGCTGAAGGGGTGCTGCGCAGAGAGGGAAAACTGTGTAGCGCCTCTTCAGCGAAGCGAAGCCTGGAGAGCGAGAGGGATCGGTGTGCACCGACCCCTCTCACTCTCCAGGCTTCAGGCTGCTATCTGCAAGCCTTCAGAGCACAGCGGGAACTCCTGCTGCGCTCCGAAGGCTTGCGGATAGCTGCCTGAAGCCCCCGAAGCGCAACGCGAAAGCAACGCAAAGCCTCCGGAGCGCGGGGGGAGCTCTCCCTCTGCGCTTCGGAGGCTTTGCGTTGCTATCGCTGAAGCCAAGGAGCCTGCATTCGCTCCATAAGACGCACACACATTTCCCCTTAATTTTTGAAGGAGGAAAAGTGCGTCTTATAGAGCGAAAAATACGGTAAATGGATGCATGCACCACAAAATGAATGTGGCTGTGCCTCCAAGTCTCTGGTTCTGAAAAGCTGTTTGCTATGCTATGCATAGCCTTTGACACATCATCATTACAATGGGTTCAACTGAGTTCCCAATGTCGCCCCACCCAGGGGTTATTGCAGCATTATTTCTCTGCCCCCCCCCATCATGTTGAATATTAAAAGTACTGGAATTGTGTTATGTAAATCACCCAGGGATTTAGAGGGGGGTGATTGGCTTATTACACTTGATGTCACAATAGACAGCTTGGCACGCAAGAGGGGAAACAGAAGTGAGGGGGCAGATGGATCCAGAAGGTTGTGTTGAGGTTGAGAGTGGGGAGAGGATGAGGCCTGGATGGTTAGTAAACTACAATATGACATGCCAGCCTAGATGACAGGCGGCTCCTCCTTCCTCTGAGGATATTAGCTCAAGGGTCACAGCAGATACACTGCATGAGTTAGAGGCCTAGGACTAATTTGTGTATTACGGCATCGGACAATTGATATAATTTGTGTTACCACTTTCCTGAATGTGGTGTGCGTCAAAGTACAATTTGTGGCTTACACCTTAACATTTCTTTCCCCTTTAAATTAAATCCTGCCATTGATCCTTGAGCTATTTAATGGGTCTGGGCTTCAGCTGTCTCACTGTTTCAGATCCTTCAGCAATTTTTGCCATCCCATTTTCAAGACTCATCTCTGTAGCCATGAGGCCTAGAAACCTTAAGAGAGGAGAGCTGGGTTTCTAAAGCCTGTAGCCTCCTGATGAAAGAATGGGTTTCCCAAACCCAAAACTGACTGTGCAGGCAGTTTGAAACTGCACCAAAATCCCTATTTTTCCTTAGCTAAAATCCATTAACTTGAGCTCTGAGTCAATGTATAAACAAAAACCCGGCCATGCTCAGAGCCCTCTCCTTTATCAGTTTGTGACGGCAGGGATGACCCTGACTGCACCAGTAGAACAGAGAAAGACACATCTGTACCTTATCTTATGTGCTGATCACAAAAGACGCACAGACCTAAGTCCGGAACAACGCCAAAGCGTGTTCTCGGAGATGACAACCTCTTCCTCCAAGATAAGAGTAGGAAGAGGAAGATCCTTTTAAGGTCAGAAGTACAGGAAGGAATTCCCTTTTATGGTTAAGAATACCAGAGCAAGAACATATGTGATGTCAACCTGCGTACATAGGCTGACGTGGTTGGATTTATATGGGAAGGAGGGAGAGGGTGCCTGGAGGATATATATACTGCATGAAACTTGTCATTTCTTTGGACTTGCTGTGGACTTGATCACGCAAGTGCCTTCTGCTATCTGGAGAGCAGAATAAACTCTTTCTTCGAACCAACCTCGGTGTCATTTGACTTCCTTCCTCCTGTCCCGGAGCAACGCAGACCCAATCGGTGAACTCAAATAAGGCTACACTGAGGCTTTTGTTAATGTTTCATTGCTGGCTGGTTTGTGCCTGTTAAGCCTGCGCTAAGAGCCAATTCCGACATTTTACCCATACAGATCTGTGGAGACCTACGTCTTACAACTTGCTGTAATTTCCCCCTGTGTTCAGAGTGTGGGTGTGTTTTCTTTTTCCTGCTTCCAAATGATTTTCCGAACACCTCCAAGCACCTTGGGATGTTTGTGTGTGTGGATAGGCGAGACGTTGCAATGTGCTGTAATCATTCTGAGCTTTGACTGACCCTGCCACTTATAGGGGAAATATGCAGGTCACTGGCAGAGCATCTCCTTGGCATGTATGAAGTCCCAGATTCAATCTCTGACATTTCCAAGCAGGGCAGGGAATGTCTCCAGCGTGAAACCCTGGAGAGCGACTGGCAAGCTGTGGATACAATGGTAGATTGGCCAATGGGCAGACTCAGTACAAAGCCAGCTTCCTATGTTCCTGTTCTAGGAAAACAAATGGTTCCCACAGAAGCAGTGGCTAATTTCTAAAATAAAAGGTGCTGGGGCTAACTTCAGCAGGGAAGCCATACTTCCCTCCTCTCAGGTTTTTATTCTTATTCTCAGGCAAGCTGCAACTGGCCATCAGTGGCGAAAGCAAGGTACTATGCAGAGGCTCAGAAACCACTCTCCACAATATCATTACCAGGCATGGGGCTGGTCCCAGGCTCTGAGTAAAGGTTCTGGGGCTGAGTTTGGGGGTTTGAAAATTCTGTGTCTAGAATGTATGTATGCATTCATTGCCCTATATAAACTATGCAAATTAAGAACACCGATACAGTTCGTTTTGTATATTTCCCCCTAGGGTAAAGGGACCCCTGACCGTTAGGTCCAGTTGCGGATGACTCTGGGGTTGCGGCGCTCATCTCGCTTTACTGGCCGACGGAGCCGACATACAGCTTCCAGGTCACGTGGCCAGCATGACTAAGCCGTTTCTGGCGAACCAGAGCAGTGCACGGAAACGCCATTTACCTTCCCGCCAGAGCGGTACCTATTTATCTACTTGCACTTTGACATGCTTTTGAACTGCTAGGTTGGCAGGAGCTGGGACCGAGCAACGGGAGCTCACCCCGTCGCAGGGATTCGAACTGCCGACCTTCTGATTGGCAAGCCCTAGGCCAGGGGTAGGCAACTAAGGCCCGTGGGCCAGATGCGGCCCAATCGCCTTCTCAATCCGGCCCGCGGATGGTCCGGGAATCAGTGTGTATTTACATGAGTAGAATGTGTGCTTTTATTTAAAATACATCTCTGGGTTATTTGTGGGGCATAGGAATTCATTTATTTATTTTTTCAAAATATAGTCCGGTCCACCAGATGGTCTAAGGGACGGTGGACTGGCCCACGGCTGAAAAAGGTTGCTGACCCCTGCCCTAGGCTCTGTGGTTTAGCCCACAGCGCCACCTGCACCCCATATAGCAAATAGCAAAGCAAAGAACTGGAGCCCACGTCCTTCCCAAAGGAAATCTCATTCAGCCCCTCCCACCTCTGCACCTGGGACCCAGTGAGATATTGGTAACTATTTACCATTTCCACATGCTTAAACTCTCCCTCTCTGTATATATGATTTACTTAGATTTTTGGGTTGACAAATTCTGAACGCGGTAACAATAGGCTTGCATGATGTCCAGGAATACAAACAGCTCTGCAATTTAATAACGCCAGAGGGGCTGGGGAAGGTGGGTGAAAGAGATTTTAACACACGGTGGCTAATCGTTACAATCTCAAGCAAAAGTAGGATGCAAGAAAACTTGTCTACAGAGAGCTGCTTTCTGACCTCAATAGAAGCATACATTCTCCATCCTAATCTCATTTCCTGTGTTACTGGGCTGCCAAGAGGCACTACTTCAGAACTGGCCTTTCCTAATGGTTAGAAATCTCCTGAAATCTACCATCAAATTCCTTTGCATCGAGTTCCACAAGGGAATCACAGAGCGGACGAAGCATTGATTTTCCTTTTCCCTGCATCTAGCAAGCTGCAGGGATCATGCTAGCGGAGAGAGCAAAACAGGGTGAACCCTCCCGTTTGTTTGTTTTAAGCAACGGAAGCAGGCTTGGCTGGCTGGACTCACTCACCTATGCAGACGATGTCCATAAAGCCGTACATCCCATAGCAGATCTGGAAGAGCAGGTCCTGTCGCTGCCACTTGGCCGAGGGGCTGAGCGACGACCAGATGAGCCACGAGATGCTGGCGATGAGGAAGAGGGAACCCAGGATGATGGCTGCGATCTGTACCTTTTCAATCACCGTCAGGGAAATCGCCTGCCACTGGGGGCGGGGAGGAAAAACAGCACATGGGAGCGAACGCCGGTAGGGTGCTTTTGCCAAATGATGGGCAGAACAAGCCAAGATGGGATTTTCCCATGAGGCCGAGGGGTGCAGAATCTTAGGGTGTCGATGAACAACAAATGCAATACAGAGAGCTTGGGCATTGGCAAAAACCATTCTGCTACAAATATACAAATGTTTAGGGAAGTTTTTAATGTTTGATGTTTTATTCTGTTTTTAATCTGTTGGGAGCAGCCCAGAGTGGCTGGGGGAACCTAGCCAGATGTGTGGGGTATATAAAAATTATTATTGTTATTATTATTTATTATTATTATTATTATTTACAGCCCGATCCAAGGGTTGTAGCCAGTGCTAGCCCTGTTCAGAACAGAACCACTGAAATTGATAGACACAACTTAGACCCATCAATTTCAATGGGTCTACTCTGAGTAGGACTACTCCCCATGCTGCTGCTTCCCATGGTTCCTTTCCACACCCTGTGACCAAACCAGATAATGGGAATAGAACGAGGAGTAGGGGGCGGGATGCCACAGGATAGTGGTTTTTGGAATGTGCTGCAGGATATATCCTCAGGTTCCTTGAGAACTTACTAATCTCCTTACTGAGGAAGGCTTGAGAACGGCAGACAGATTTCTCCAGTGTGCAGTCACCGGGGACACACTGAGTGCTTCCAAAGTCATACCCTCAGTTGGTGGAGCAATGCTGAAGTGCAATAAAGGCTTCACCAGCTGAAATGTGCACCACACAGCACAATGGGTGAGGAATGTACGGCCATCGGAATCTTTTTTGAGGTAGTTAAGACTGCTTGGCAGGCCTAGATGTGTATGTGGGCTCACACACATGCGCATCATCTGCCATGCTTTGCTGTTGACTCCCCTCCTCCCTGCAACATGTGGCCTGCTGGTAAAAAAGTAATTCACCAACCAGGGTTTTAGCAGACTCTCCAAGTGTCCCTACATTCCAGGGACAGTCCCAGATTTACAGAAGCCGTCCCGGTTTCCAATTTGACCCCAGAATGTCCCGCTTTTCCTTAGGACGTCCCTATGTTCATTGGAGATATGTTGGAGGGTATGGAATTATGTGACCCCCGAGCCAAGCAGATAAATAACTATACAAGACATCAGACGGCAGTCCTGCATAGGGAAGTTTGTAAAAAAAATGTTTAACGTTTTATTGTATTTTTTTAATATGTTTGCAGCCACCTAGAACGGCTGGGGCAGCCCAGTCAGGTGGACAGGGTATAAATAGTAAAAATTTCATCAGAGAAATATCGTAGGGTATGGCTTTAGCCGTTTCGGGGCTTACCTGCAAGGGATTCTTTGTGCTAATGGCTAAGACCTGGTATTTGAAGTAGCACAGCTCGCAGCTCCAAGAACCTCTCTCGCTGATCCAGCGAATCAGGCAGGGCTGGTGGGTGCAGCGGACAGACCCGTCGCAGCGACATGGGCTTAACAGCTCCCCCTGCAAGGGAAAAAGCATAGGAGAGTCAGGGAGGTCTTCGCTTACTGGCTACAGACTTCCTGGACCCCACTGCTGAGACTTCACGGAAGCTACCCAGGCCTGTAGGAGTATCCAGTACCAATAATTACAAACCATCACCACCACCAAGAGGATTCTGGGTAACACCGGCCATCTCTAAGCATAGAGTCCATTAAAGGTAAAGGGACCCCTGACCATTAGGTCCAGTCGTGGCCGACTCTGGGGTTGCGGCGCTCATCTCGCTTTATTGGCCGAGGGAGCCGGCGTACAGCTTCCGGGTCATGTGGCCAGCATGACTAAGCCGCTTCTGGCGAACCAGAGCAGCGCACGGAAACGCCATTTACCTTCCCGCCAGAGTGGTACCTATTTATCTACTTGCACTTTGATGTGCTTTCGAACTGCTAGGTTGGCAGGAGCAGGGACCAAACAATGGGAGCTCACCCCGTCGTGGGGATTCCAACCGCCGACCTTCTGATCGGCAAGTCCTAGGCTCTGCCGATCCATTAGGTCTCCTCTATTTAAGAAACCACCACCACCACACCACCGAAGCGAGCCTGGTTCGTTAGTGCTGCCTGCTTAATGTGCTGGCAAGGAGAGCAATTAGCATCAATATTTCAAGCTCGCTTGCAGGAAGTATTAATGATAGGTTAGGGATATATGCCTGGACAAGGAAATTGCTGTGGATTCCTGTCAGCTGGGGGGGTGGGCAGAGCAAGAGGTCACTACTGGGTCTCTGGCCACGTATCCCAACAGCAGCAGAATCCCGTTGCTAAGAACACAGCAACAGAAAGGGGCAGGCTGCAGAGAAAGCAAGCAAGCAGGGTAGCCAATGACTGGATTAGGTCGGCGGTTCGAATCCCCGCAACGGGGTGAGCTCCCGTTGCTCAATCCCTGCTTCTGCTCACCTAACAGTTCAAAAACACGTCAAAGTGCAAGTAGATAAATAGGTATCGCTCCAGTGGGAAGGTAAACGGCGTTTCTATGCGCTGCTCTGGTTCGCCAGAAGCGGCTTAGTCATGCTGGCCACATGACCCGGAAGCTGTACGCTGGCTCCCTCGGCCAATAAAGCGAGATGAGTGCCACAACACCATAGTCGGCCACGTCTGGACCTTATGGTCAGGAGTCCCTTTACCTTTACCTAGGGAGTCATGTGGCTCAAGGCTGGCTTTCCACAGAGAATGACCTGCCCCAGCCCAAAAATGGAAAACGAGCGAGGTCCCAACCAAAGAAGAGTGGCAACTTAAACTGATGGAATATTCACTGCTTGCGGACTTAACATATAGAAAAAGAGAACAAGAAGAGTATATGTTTAGAGAAGATTGGAAAGTGTTTATTGAATATGGGGGGGGGGGGATTGTGTACACTTGAAAACGTGGGCAGCATTAAGATAAATTCAACAGTGTAAATAAGTTTTGATGGATGTAATAATGGAATACTGAGTGGTTTAGTTTATGTAAAATATGCAGGGATTTTATGATATGCAAAATGAACCATGGAAAGAGAAGAAGGGAAGTCACTGATATTTTAAGGGTGTTTAAACGAGTTTTCAAAATTGTGAAACAGAAAATGTAATAAAAATTATATACACTATATAAAAAAGAGAATGACGTGCCCCCAGTAGCTGTCAGAGGGTGGGGCTTGGCAAAAACCTGGCACTTGGCCCAAATAAAGAGCAAGACAAGGACCCACACCAGGGCCCCACACAGCTGCTTTCCCTTCCAATTTAAGTGGCAAGCTTAACACAGGCTGGGCCAGGCCAGTGGCCCATCTATTCCAGCATCCTGTTCTTCAGGTGGTTGACCAGAAGGACATGAGCACAACAGCACCATCTCCATATCTGTGTTGTTTGGCCCTAGCTCAGCGGGCCAGTGGGCAGAGGGTGAGCTTTGGATATGGGAGACCCAAGTTCCAATCTCTCTCTAACGATGACTTTACTGGGGATTGTTTTACAGTTCTGCTTCCCCTGTAGAGGCACCCCCACCACCATTAGCTAACAGAAGCGGTCCTCGAATTCTGATGTTGACTCTTGTTTGCATGGGTGGAGGATACAGAGGGGCGTACATGTATAAAAGCTAGCCTACTGTAAGGTAAAGGTAAAGGGACCCCTGACCATTAGGTCCAGTTGTGGCCGACTCTGGGGTTGCGGCGCTCATCTCGCTTTATTGGCCGAGGGAGCTGGCGTACAGCTTCCGAGTCATGTGGCCAGCACGACTAAGCCGCTTCTGGTGAACCAGAGCAGCACACGGAAACGCCGTTTACCTTCCCGCCCGAGTGGTACCTATTTATCTACTTGCACTTTGATGTGCTTTCGAACTGCTAGGTTGGCAGGAGCAGGGACCGAGCAGCAGGAACTAACCCCGTCACGGGGATTCGAACTGTCAACCTTCTGATCGGCAAGTCCTAGGCTCTGTGGTTTAACCCACAGCGTCACCCGTGTTCCAGCCTACTGTACAAAAGGTAAAAATTACATTAGTGACTAGGGCTGGGCGATATCTGGTTTTCAACATTGTGATATATCACAAGCTAAACATTGTGATATACTGATCTATCACAATGCCTGAAGTAAGGATGGAGCTATGTAGAGACAACTGGCCAGCTTCACAGTTTTTCTCAAATTGTGATTTTTGCATAGCCTACCCACAATGATTTGTGATATATTGCCTGGTCAAAAATGGTGAAACCGATATCACGATGTGGACTTCAAACCGGTTTTGGAGGATAATCAGTATGTCACCAAGCCCTATTAAGTGACCCCCCACCTACTTTTGCCCCTGCCCCCCACAGCCATGTGGCCCTCAAAAGGTTCACTAGAAGGGAATGTGGCCCTTAGGCTGAGGAAAAGTGCCCCCACCCCTGATCTAGCACAGTAACAATAAGCAAGAGAATGGAACAGAAAGATAAGCAAAATTAGAAAAACGTTTCAAAGTTTACGTCAGACCTTTGAGTGGCACTTAACTATTGGGAAGAAAAGCAGCTTTGAATAATTCAATTATGTCCCTATTGTTACAGTCATGGGCCTCTGCGGAATTATTAAAAATCCAGCCTTCTATTTTCAGTCATTTAAGCAGGAAGATGAGGCAAGACAGGGGAAGATTTAAAAAGAGGTAAAGGAGATGGGGATGAGTTTGTGCGCAAGGAGTTAAGAGTGACGATTCATGGCAGGTGCTGCTATGCTCAAAGCACACCAGAAAGTAACAGGTTAAAAAACACATTGAGTTTTCATGAAATCCTCATGAAACTATACATCATGGTAACATCGCAAAGCCTTTTTTCTTGTGTATAGATGCTAGGTAAAGGTAAAGGTAAAAGTACCCCTGACCGTTAGGTCCAGTCGCGGACAACTCTGGAGTTGCACGCTCATCTTGCTTTACAGGCTGAGGGAGCCAGCATGACTAAGCCACTTCTGGCGAACCAGAGCAGCGCACGGAAATGCTGTTTACCTTCCCGCCAGAGAGGTACCTATTTATCTACTTGCACTTTGACGTGCTTTCAAACTGCTAGGTTGGCAGGAGCTGGGACCGAGCAACAGGAGCTCACCCCATCACGGGGATTCGAACTGCCAACCTTCTGATTGGCAAACCCTAGGCTCTGTGGCTTAGACCACAGTTGGCTGTGGCTTCCCATCATGCCTACCACAATGCAACATGTAGTATAATACAAATTCCCAGTCTGGATCCTGGGCACTCCTTGCACCTTAAGTTCATCAAGTATATGCCCCTGTTGTCTGAGGCTCAGAGGATGGATCTGACATCCAGGGCTTTCTCCATAATGGTACCTTTCTCTTGGAAACTCCTTGCCACAGGAAGCCCGTCGTAGAAGTTTGCTCCTAAATTTTAGCCACTGTATTAGGAAGGCCATTGGCAAGAATATTGTGAAGGGGTGGCACATCTGTCAATCTACATGCAAGTTTTGCACCGTTTCCCAGTGTTCTGTGCAAAGAAAGCCTAACACATGGACCAGCTCAAAGCAGCCTTAGGAAAATCACCATTACTCAACAGAGCTGCTTTGTACTGCTTTGTGCTCTACACAATACATTCGTCCTGGAGACTGATCCCTATTCTAAGTCTGCACGGCAACTTTGCTCAGGCCATGTGGACACTCATTTCTGATCTTCAAACCACCACCAAGCCCTTTTCATGCAATCCTGTCGTTCCCACATGATTTCTTCATTGTTGCCGGTGGGGAACCTTCAGCCCATGGGGCAGTCTTGGGCTACTAGGGGTTCCAATCTGACCTGCTCAGAGATTTTTGTGAAAGCGCCCCACCTGTCAGTCAGGTGACACCATCCTGATGGCAGCTGATGGTTGGTTTAATGGGTACAGCCAACCCCTGCAGAAAGCACTATTGAACCCATCAATCTTGCTCGGTTCAGCTGCTCATGCCAGTTTCCCAGAGGCAACTGGAGCTCACACCCAATCCCTACAGAAAGCATGATGAACATGAACACACACACCCCTCACACACCAGCTGATATGTGGGATGGTTCAATCCTCAGTGTTTGCTAAACACAAATAAAGCAAACATGCTGTGCAGGGGTTGCTAACCCTGTGTCTTCCAGATGTTGCTGGACTCCAACTCCCATCAGCCCCGCTTAGCAAGGGATGATGGGAGCTGGGAGTCCAACGGCAGAGGGCACCATGTTATAAATCCAAGTCTTGTTCTGAGCAGTGGGAAAGGGGCAGCAGGGTAACTGAGTAGACATTCTCCATCGTTCTGCCCGGACACTGAGGTCCAGCACCGAGGGCCTTCTGGCGGTTCCCTCGCTGCGAAAGCCAAGTTACAGGGAACCAGGCAAAGGGCCTTCTCGGTAGTGGCACCTGCCCTGTGGAACGCCCTCCCACCAGATGTCAGAGAAAAATAACTACCAAACTTTTAGAAGACATCTGAAGGCAGCCCTGTTCAGGGAAGCTTTTAATGTTTAATAGGTTATTGTATTCTAGTGTTCTGTTGGAAGCCGCCCAGAGTGGCTGGGGAAACCCAGCCAGTTGGGCAGGGTATAAATAATAAGTTGTTGTTGTTGTTGTTGTTGCCTTGATCTCATGGGATGCTGCTCTTTTGGATGCCAGAAAGTGATGCTGGTGATCTATCAAAGAATATGGGCAACAAAGGACTCCTCTCACTAGGTGATTTAAACAGTGTCCCCTCCCCGGGGGGGGAGGGGGCTCCCTCTGTGCAGTTGCTTATTTCTACACCCTCCCAGGTTCTAGGGCTAGAATTAAAAGAAAAAAGACTACAAAAGAAAAAAATGGACACTCCCCACCCCCCAGGTGGTACAGCTGCTATGTGCCACTGTCCTCACAGCCTGGGTTGATTGAAGCACAATGCAGAATCAAATTGGAGGATTGGGGGGGACACAGAGTTCCTAAATTGGGTCACTGTATCCAACAAAGGGAAAACAGGAGGGGTGTCTGGCTTTCCTCCTTAATCCGTTGCACACTTAGCTTGTCTGCCCTCCTTGCAACCCAGCCACCCCCTTCCACAGAACCATGGCTGCAGTTCAGGGCATGCTTAAGCAAGGCAGGAAGCAGCAGGCTGGGGTGGCCATTTGGAGGATGTAATTAACTGAGATTGGGGGGGCAGGGGAGAGAGAGAAGGGTAGCAAGGCTGCAGGAAGCCGTACACAAGGAGTGGGTTGTGGCTCTGAAGTCACAGGAGAGACACGTCTCCCATTGTTTTAGGAAGGGGGAGGAACCTAGCTGTCAACTTTCAGATTTGAAAATAACTGATCAGCAGCCTCGAAAATAACAACAACAACAACAACAACAATAATAATAATAATAAATTTTATTTATATCCCACCCTCCCCAGCCGAAGCCGGGCTCAGGGCGGCTAACAACAATAAAATAATACAACATTCTAAAATAATTTCATTATAAAATTAATTCAAATCAAATTGATGGCAACCATTGGGTTAGAGTTCTGTGAAGATTGCCAAAGGAGGGAGTCAGGCTGTGCCCTGGCCAAAGGCCTGGTGGAACAGCTCTGTCTTGCAGGCCCTGCGGAAAGATGTCAAGTCCCACAGGGCCCTAGTCTCTTGTGACAGAGCGTTCCACCAGATCGGAGCCACAGCCGAAAAAGCCCTGGCTCTAGTTGAGGCCAGCCTAACCTGTCTGTGGCCTGGGACCTTCAGGATGTTTTTGTTTGAAGACCGCAAGGTCCTCCGTGGGGCATACCGGGAGAGGCGGTCCCATAGGTATGAGGGTCCTAGGCCGTATAGGGTTTTAAAGGTTAAAACCAGCACCTTAAACCTGATCCTGTACTCCACCGGGAGCCAGAGCAGCTGGTATAGCACCGGGTGAATGTGATCTCACAGCGAGGACCCCGTAAGGAGTCTCGCCGCGGCATTCTGCACCCGCTGGAGTTTCTGGGTCAGTCTCAAGGGCAGCCCCATGTAGAGCGAGTTACAATAATCCAGTCTGGAGGTGATCAGCAGCCTCACCTGTCCTGGGGAGCCTCAAAAATAAGGGATCAGCAGCCTCACCTATCCTGGGGACAGTCTACAGGATATCTAACAATCTGGGATAGCAGCGGGAAATGGCCCTGGAATTTCCCGCAAAAAAAAGGGAAGGTTGACAGCTATGGGGAGGAAGCAGGCTCTGCTCACAGAGGCATTTGATGTTGCCCGCAGCCTCCCACCTCCCGACATTCCCTGGACTTTATTTGTGGATGCCATGGATGGGAGCACCCATCACATTCCAGAGAAGCCTTCACTTCAAAAGACAAGAACAGGTTCCTAGTCCTTATGGATGAGATGACAAGCTTTGACAGGTGAAGGAAGTGTCGGTGATAGGCCAGGAGAGAGAATGTGGGAGGAGCCTCCAGTGAAAATAACAACAACCCTATAGCAAGGGGAGCCAGCACAAAAGATAAAGGCAGGCCCTCTCTGGACCAGTTTCAATGGGGGCGCTGTCACCAATTCTCTGTTCCCTGCACCCCCCGGGGCCAGATGGTGGAAGATGAAACTGCAGGCAGCTTGACAAGAGGACTGCCCACAAATGCTCTTGGTTCTGGGATGCAAGTGATTCCAAGAGCCAATTCCCTGGCACGAGCTGCTATAAAGCTTTCAGGTCCGTAGCATGCAGGCCTGACTTGTCACTAAGATGGTCAGGTTGTGTCTGAACTTCACAAGATGGAACACGAACACACACACGAACACACACACACACACACACACACACCCCTTCCATCACATACCTATACAGTGGCACCTCAGGTTAAGCATTTAATTCGTTCCGGAGGTCTGTTCTTAACCTGAAACTGTTCTTAACCTGAAGCACCACTTTAGCTAATGGAGCCTCCTGCTGCTGCCGCACCGCCGGAGCCCGATTTCCATTCTTATCCTGAAGCAAAGTTCTTAACCCGAGGTACTATTTCTGGGTTAGCGGAGTGTGTAACCTGAAGCGTATGTAACCTGAGGTTACTGTAGTATATCTGGGTAAGAGTTAGTCTTGACCCCTTTTCTCTAACCGCATGTTTTCTACAGGCAGTGAATGTCTTCTTCCTGGAGATCTTGGTGCCTTCTGCTTCAAAAAAAACATGTGTCCTGCTGCAGAATTATGACCCTTTCCTTCATATGTTCAGTTTTAATGGTAATATGTTTTACAATGGCTTTTAAAAAGGGGGGGAAGCAATGATACGAGCCAACAATATTGAGCATTGCTATATTCTTGAGGCTCGGGGTGGTGGTGGAATGCAGAGCTTCCTGACTATAACTCACTATGAAGATACAAAAGAAACTCACATTTCGCACAGCAAAGGCTGAGTCGTCTTGTTTTGCGCTTCCCCCTTCCCCCCCAAGCAATGGAGAAAACTCAAGGCTGCCTTTGCGCCAAATGTTTCCTTTGGAGGAGGAGAGCAACTTATGGTGCCTCCATAGGTTGGGCAGTTATTCTAGGGGCACAGAAGCAAGCACACAGGCAGGCATTGCTACGGACACAAGGAGAGCCCAGCTGGATCACGCAAAAGTTCCCATCTTTTTTTTTTTTAGTTTTTATTGTTAAAATAATTCAGCATTAATACACACATATTGCAAATATACAAGCATACAAACATACATTTTATACAATCCTTAAAAATATTAAAACATACCTACACTCAATCCCACAGATAATTCCTTTTCCCACCACCATCCACCACCCCTCACCCTTTGTGTTAGACTTCCAATCTACTGAATTGCAATTTCTTTCCACTTCTATTACTTTCTTTCACACACCTTTAACCTAATTTCATGCTCCTTTTTCTATTACACATTGTAATCCATCTTATTTAGTATTTCAGTATTTAAAACAGAACTTGTTTATTCTAATAGGAGTTCTGATTTTTCGATATGGTTTTGCAAGTATCCTTCCAGTTCCTGTCTATCTTCTCTTTTGATATCCTTCCAATTTCTCCCATTGTTTTAGATATATTTGGAGTATTGGAGCAAAAGTTGCCATCTAATTCCAGCATTCTGTTTACACACTGCCCACCCAGATGATTCCTGCAAGGCCCACCACCAGGATATGGGTGCAATAGCACATGGGAACTGGTATTCACATTGCTGCTGGTACTGGAAGTAGCAAACAGCCATCCTGACTAGCAGCTGCCGATAGTCTTGTCCTTATTGCCTATTCCAGTAAACAGGGCTAGAAACTTGGGTACAGGAAAAAAGGCGCCCAATAGCACCTTAAATCTAGGTTGTGGTTGCCACAACTGAATGTCTTTTCACCAGGGGCTTGGACTAAAGGACAGGGTCTCTTCCAGTGCTACAATTCTATGATTCTGTTGCTTAACTCCTACAACAATTCCCTTGTCCCAGTACAAGAAAGAGAAACACAAACAGTGGAAATGGAAATGGTATTAACGATATGGAGGTTATTAACAGTAGACTAAGACAGAGGTTTTTGAACTGTGGTCGCCAAGCTGGCTGGCGCTCAGAAATTTCCACGTAGTTGCAGTTGCCAAATGCGCCTGGCACCTGGCTAATTTCAAACAGGGCAGTGAAACATAAAAAGTAAAAGGTAAAGGGACCCCTGACCATTAAGTCCAGTTGTGGCCGACTCTGGGGTTGTGGCGCTCATCTCGCTTTATTGGCTGAGGGAGCCGGCGTACAGCTTCCGGGTCATGTGGCCAGCATGACTAAGCCGCTTCTGGTGAACCAGAGCAGTGCATGGAAACGCCGTTTACCTTCCCGCCGGAGTGGTACCTATTTATCTACTTGCACTTTGACGTGCTTTTGAGCTGCTAGGTTGGCAGGAGCAGGGACCGAGCAACGGGAGCTCACCCCATCGCGGGGATTCGAACCACCGACCTTCTGATCGGCAAGTCCTAGGCTCTGTGGTTTAACCCACATATGTATGTATAATTTTTATTACGTTTTCCATTTCTACATCTGAAAATAAACATTTTACATACTGTTAAATATCCAACGACTTTCCTCCTTCTCTTTCCTTGTTTCGTTTTCTTAATCTTTCATTCCTGCATATTTTGCTATAACTATATTAATCAGTTATCCACTTTTACATCACTCAGGCGTTAATTACACTGTTGACTTTATCTTAATGCTGCCAGCGTTTTCAGCTGTGTACAGCTATTTTCCATATACTCAATAAATATTTTCCAGTCTTCTTTGAATGTGTGTTCTTCTTGCTCTTTTATTCTATATGTTAAACCTGCAAGATCTGCATATTCTGCCGTCTTAACTTGGCAGTCCTCTTTGCCTGGGACCTCCCTCACTTTCCATTTTTGGGCTAACAAAACTCGGGCCGCTGCTATTGCATACATAAATAAATTTTGTTGACACTTGGATTATTCCCAACAAAAAAGATTCCAGTCTTTTTGGGAAAGGTATTTTAAACATTTTTTTCAACTCATTATAGATCATTTCCCAATATTCTTTTACCTTTTACAAGGCCAACAACATACGAAAAAAAACGTTCCCTTCATTTCTTTACATTTCCAACACATATCTGATTCTGCTCTATACCTCTTAGCCAACCTACTCGGAGTTAAATACCACCTGTGTATCATTTTCACATAATTCTCCGGTCAGCTATTACTATCCACTGCCTGCCGTCAATGACTAGGCCAGGCCAAACGTAAGGAAAGGGCGGTTAACTTGACTCACAACAGCAAATTCAGATCTTCCGTGTGAGAAGTACTATTTCACAGAACACTCGCTTTTCAATTAGTTCTAACCAGGCCATAGGGAACAGGAAATAAAGATTTCTCCCTTTCCCCCAAACATGTATGGATCTGAGCTTTAAAATAACAACAACAGCCATGTAATCAGCAGGCAGTGGCTGTCGATGGGGAAAATGTTAGTCTGTGATGCATTCATTACAATACGAAAGGGCCATCAATTGTTCATCTAAATCAATTCTCCGCTGTATGATTATTACCATGTGATAACCACATTGCTTGGCTTCTCTTGATTTTAGATGACGTAGGACCTTCTGGTATAATGGGGTCTGTTTCACACTACAGGAAAAATACTGGGTATTAGAAAAAGGAGAATGCAGAGAAGCAGAACGAATTCTCTGCATCTGTCTCCACTGTGGAAGAAGTAGGGCAGATTCCGATGGCTGAACTAAGTTTCATAGGTAAGGAGTCAGAGGAACTGAGATAAACAGCGGTGACAAGAAACAAGTTTGAGGTCTTATTGACAAGTTTAAAAGGTAAAGGGACCCCTGACCATTAGGTCCAGTCGTGACCGACTCTGGGGTTGCAGCGCTCATCTCACTTTATTGGCCAAGGGAGCCGGCGTTTGTCCGCAGACAGCTTCCGGGTCATGTGGCCAGCATGACTAAGCCGCTTCTGGCGCACCAGAGCAGCGCACGGAAACGCCGTTTACCTTCCCACCGGAACGGTACCTATTTATCTACTTGCACCTTGACGTGCTTTCAAACTGCTAGGTTGGCAGGAGCTGGGACCGAGCAATGGGAACTCACCCCGTCACAGGGATTCGAACCGCTGACCTTCTGATCGACAAGTCCTAGGCTCTGTGGTTTAACCCACAGTGCCACCCGCATCCCACTGACAAGTTTAAAAAGGACAAATCACTAGGTCTATATGGCATCCGTCTGAGAGTTCGTAAAAGAAGTGAAATTGCTGATCTTTTAATAGAAAGGTATAACTTGTCCCGAAGAACAATCTCCATAACCAAGGACAGCGAAATGATTAACATAACACCAATTGTGAAAAAGGGATGGAGGGAAATTTCAGGTCAGTTCTAGGAAGCATGGTAGAAAGCATTATTAAAGGTAGAATTGCCAAGTGTATAGAAGAACAAGTCTTGCTGAGCAGAACCAGCATGGCTTCCGCAAGGGTAAGACTTTAAGGTGCTTCTAGGTGGATATTTATTGTGGGATGAGTGTTCCTCATGCATGCCAAGTTCTTGCAGTATCCACACAATGTTATCAGCATCAAAATGACAGTCCCTATTCCTGTCCCTAACCCCCACCCTTTATTTAATCCAGATTCACTCTTTCTGGGGGAAATCCAGTAAGTTTAAAAACAAACAAACAACTGGTGCCAACAACCCGTTTGTGATATCTGAATGAACCAGTTATAATATTAAGCCCTCCTCTGAAAACACCCCAGCTAGCCTTTTAAAGTTCTTTCAGAGTGTCAAATGTGGGTGGGAGGAAGGTGTGTGAATACAGTAGCCCCTGTGTACTCAAGACTTTCAGTAAGCTTTCAATAAAGTCATAGTATCATAGCACTGAGGGACACGGGTGGAGCTGAGGGTTAAACCACAGAGCCTAGGACTTGCCGATCAGAAGGCCAGCGGTTTGAATCCCCGCGATGTGGTGAGCTCCCATTGCTCGGTCCCAGCTCCTGCCAACCTAGCAGCTCAAAAGCACGTCAAAGTGCAAGTAGATAAATAGGTACCACTCCGGCAGGAAGGTAAACGGCGTTTCCATGCGCTGCTCTGGTTCGCTAGTAGCAGCTTAGTCATGCTGGCCACATGACCCAGAAGCTGTACGTCGGCTCCCTCGGCCAATAAAGCGAGATGAGCGCCGCAACCCCAGAGTCGGCCACGACTGGACCTAATGATCAGGGGTCCCTTTACTTTTACCTTATCATAGCACTGTAAAGCTGGAAGGGACCAAAGGGTCATCTAGTCCAACCCCCTGCCAATGCAAGTCTCTTGCCAAAGACTCCTGAGCACGCTTAGCAGTCATGGTATAAGAGAGCAGGTCCTCTTTTGGATCAGTAACTGAGTAAAGAACAGGAAGGAAACAGTAAGAATAAACTGACATTTCCTACAATGGAAGGAGGTAAGAAATGTGTGTCTATGTCCCTCTGCTAAGTGCTGGATGCTAGAAGGTTCAGGATGGACAAAAGTACCTCTTCATATAGCACACAGTTCAACTATGGAATTCGCTACAACAAAATGTACTGATGGCCACCAACCGAGACGGCTTTAAAAAGGGTTTAGCTGAATTCATGGAGGATTTCTTTATTTAACAAAAGGTATATGATTGCTTGATTGCAATAAGACCTCTAAGTGGCTGGCAAAAAGAGTAAGACATTAAAATTACCCATAAAAGACAGTTAAAAACAGGATTTTAAATTAATATAGCATAAGGGGTATCAATGGCAGCTATCTATGATGGCCACGTGTCACCTCCAGAGCCCGTACGTCTCTATATACAGTTGTACCTTGGTTGTCAAACGGCTTAGTTGCTGAACAAATTGGCTCCCAAGCACCGCAAACCCAGAGGTGAGTGTTCCGGTTTGCGAACGTTTTTTGGAAGCCGGACGTCCATGGCTTCCGATTGAGTGCCTTGGTTTTTGAACCGTTCTGGGAGTCGAACAGACTCCCAGAATGGATTAAGTCTGACAACCAAGGTACCACTGACTAGTTTCTAGCTATTGCTAGGGAGGGCAGTTGCACTCAGATCTTACTTGCCCCTGTGAGATGCTGGGCTTTTGGTGTGATCCAGCACAGCTCTTACGGGTCATTTCCACCGCTCTTCTGCTTATTAGCTTTCTTTCTGAAGATCAGCATACCTGTGCGTTCCCACACAACTCCCTCTGTCCATCGAGTGCCAAACGGCATTCTTCCTCTTCCCTCCCGCAGGTGAGCTGGAAGCCCCCAAACCTCACAGCCCTCCTCTGAACCCATTGCTGCATGCAACAGTGCCTCTTCCCTGAAAAGGTGTGCTGGGGACTCATCTGCCAGCTCAGGCCAGGAACATACCATTGGCTCGGCCGGCTATTGTAATCGGCAATTTCACGGCTGGCTAATTCCCTTTGCTGCTGCCTTGCTTACACTCACTCGCGCGCACACACACTCTCTCTCTCTCTCGCACACACAAAACTCACCCGCAGAGCTGCAGGGCTGCCGATAGCACATGGGATGTGGGAGGCAACAGTGGAAACATTTCAGGGGCTCGCAGCATGGCGCATAGACCTGCTGGCTCTGTTCAGTTCCGCTCCTCACCTCAAACTACCTGCTGCTGCTGCTGTTGCCGCCACACGTAGGGTGAAAGGGAGCTTGATCTAAGGCCTATCTAGACTGCTGATGTAGCTCTGGAGCATCTAATTTGCATGGGGAAGGTACCAGTTTACATCCCTGGAATCTCCAGGTTGGCCCAGGAAAGGCACTCCTTCCTGCACCCACTTACTTGATACCACTCTCTCTCTCCCTGGGCAATAGGGTGGCTAGGATCAGGCCAAGAAAGAAAGGACAGGCCAGCAAGCAGAGGCTGCTCCCTACCACTGTTATAAAGTTTTAGGGTGCAGACACATAGCAGAAAAACAACCCTTCAGAATTTAGGAAATATTCCCTGAGAAAACCACACTTTATTTTAGCACACAGAACACTCCCAAATGCTATCTTGGCTCTCCAAATGTCTCTTAAATATTCCCTCTGCAGAAGGAAATCTCTTGAGGAAACCTTTCCCGATCATTCTTCTGTTTACAAATCCTTCAATTCCTGTCTTCAAGGCATATTTTGTGTATGAATCGGGTAGGTCTGTGACCTGGATTCACGAACTAAGGCATTTACCATCTCAAAGGAATGGCCAGGTAATTTTCAGTCAGCAAGCATTACCTTGACAAACAGGAGACAAGCCACACTCTCAAATTTCTGTTGTAGACCGCCTCTTTCTGTGAAACACGTATGATGCTTTTTGAGTGGTCTTGGCTAAGGGGCTGGTTTTTGAAGGTTCCTGAACACTTTTGTTCTGGGTCCTCACCTCCTCGCAAAGGGCGGGGGTGGGGGTCTCTGTTGCAACAGGAAAATTAATATATTCCTTGCTTTCCTTCTACTGGTTCCTGCCTCCAGCCATTGTCCTCTGACCAGTCATGGACTTAGGGGACTCAGAGTCCTTTGGGGAGCTGGGCTGCAAAAGTGAACCCCGTTTTTATTTTTTTACAACACCACCATCACTCGCTGGCATGCCTAGCTGCTTCCAAAGAGCTTCCAAAGATCCACCAATGGATCCTCTTGCCAATTCTGGTGTTTGTGGTGTCTTGATGGCAGCTAGACATGGATTGATATTAGTACGCCCTTTTGAGGTGCTGGATCTTGGCAGCTATGCAGTTTGCACCAACTATCGTATTTTTCGCTCTATAGGACGCACTTTTCCCCCTCCAAAAATTAAGGGGAAATGTGTGTGTGTCCTATGGAGCGAATGCAGGCTCCTTGGCTTCAGCGATAGCAACGCGAAGCCTCCGAAGGGCAGAGGGAGCGCTCCCTCCACACTCCGGAAACTATGCGTTGCTTTCGCTGAAGCCTGGAGAGCGAGAGGGGTCAGTGCGCACCGACTCCTCTCGCTCTCCAGGCTTCCAAGGTAGCTGCCTGAAGCCTCCAGAGTGCAGTGGGAACGCTTTGGGTGAACGCACCTTGAACGCACCTTGTTTTAGATGGGGAGAACAAGAAAAAAAAACCTCCCCCTCCGTTTCTCCTGCCGCTTCGCTGAAGGGGCACCGAGCAGAGAGGGGGAGAATTTTTTTTTTTCTTGTTCTCCCCCTCTAAAACAAGGTGCGTCCTATGGTTGGGTGCGTCCTATAGAGTGAAAAATACGGTAAATGCCAGCCCTGTCTGGCCAACCAGGAGGGCTCATAACCTCTGCCAATCTCAGGCATAAAAGTTGCATGCTTCCTGCATAACTAAAGAGGGTTCAGGAACCTGAGCCACATGCAAGATCTAAGGTAGCTTTGCTGTGCTCAGTCCCAGTTCAAAACTCATCAACACCATGAATTAACGCGCCCAACAAGATGCCATTTCCCCATGCTACTAAGCTCTCTCCAGATGTTACAACAACCACACTGCCAACAGCAGGAACTCCAGAGCAGTTTGGGCACTGGGCAGGGTGTCAGTCATGACAGGAGGGGAAATTGGCATGTATGGATTCAGAGGCACAGGAATGCCCATTTTCCTTCCTTTCGTTTTGCTTCTCTTGCAGAGAAGAGGAGGATCAAAAAGTTATCTGTGGCCCACAAGCCCTGACTGCTTGAAATCCTGCCCGGTTCCTCTTCTGGCTTCTGAAATTTCACTTGGCATTGCACAAACACACACACACATGCACACAGCACTGCCAAGGCCATTAATTAATTAAATGTAGAAACAATATAGTAAATAAAAAAATTACTCTGCACCCAGACTTCCAAGACACAGCTTTAAGACCCAGGGACATTTAAAAAATAAGTTCTCAGGATGCTGAATTCTGCGCCCAGCAAAATGACTCATTCCCTGCAATGAGTCTATTGTCTGCAAAGCTTCTGTTGACTCTCGTCAATGCAAGCCAGTTTTCCACTTGAATGGCGTAACTGCAGAACAAATAAACACCGTTCTCCCTAGGATGGCACTGAGTTCTGTGGCATTCTTTAAGCGAGCAATGTGCTTTGGGTGTGTGGGGTGTGAGAAAGTTGATCAGGATCGACCGGCAATTTGCAGTAGATCTGCAAGGGTTTCCATCTCTCAACTGTTTCACAACAGCAACAACAAGACAACCAATGCCACCTATATTAGGCGGCTGAAATAGCTAGACAGGAGTGGATTTCTGTGTGAAAGGTGACTTGCACTGGGTGTCCAAAGACCAGCACCCTGTTCACATGTCACTAGCAGTGGTGCTTAAATGCCAGTGTGCTAGCACTGCACACAAATCACTGGTGGATGTGCATGCTGGCGCCCCATTAAATGTGGCCGGTGTCTGAAATTAGCCAGGCGCCAGCCACATTTTGCACCGAGCTATTGACCACTTGCGACCAAGTGAATATGCTGGGCTCCAGTATGGGGATCATTGGATCTTGACTGTTTTCACACACTAATGCCCCACCTGGTAGAATTCTATCTGTTATATTTTATCTGCACATTCAGAATTAATTTCTGGTACCAAAATGCTTTTTCTGTGCAGCCTGAGCTGGAGCAGTAAGCAACATTCTAGTTAATGGTCGTAGCTTGTCTTCACTCACCCCACCCCACCCCACCCCACTGCCCTGCTCACAGTTGTGAAGAATATTCTTATGTTATGAATGGTCCGACTGTGTCACCATTAAGAAAAAGAAGTCAGAATAGGCCAATAGATATACGGACGGTCCCTGGATAAATTGACTTTTCTTCTTTAAGTTCTCAAAGTTCTTGACCTAGCTCAAAGGTTGTCATCTGTACCAGCCAGGTGTTCAACTGATAATCGCATCCATCATTTGAAAAATGAGACCTTAGAGCTGCCTTGCCCCAAAATGGTAGCTAGACATTCAATTTGGGAGACGTGGGTGGCGCTGTGGGTTAAACCACAAAACCTAGGGCTTGCTGATCAGAAGGTCTGCGGTTCAAATCCCCGTGATTGGGTGAGCTCCTGTTGCTCGGTCCCAGCTCCTGCTAACCTAGCAGTTCGATAGCACGTCAAAAGTGTAAGTAGATCAATAGGTACTACTCCGGCGGTAAGGTAAACGGCGTTTCCGTGCACCGCTCTGGTTTGCCAGAGGCATGCTGGCCACATGACCCGGAAGCTGTACGCCGGATCCCTCGGCCAATAAAGCAAGATGAGCGCCGCAACCCCAGAATCGGTCACGACTGGACCTAACAGTCAGGGGTCCCTTTACCTTTGCCTTTGGTTTAAGGAGCCATTTAGTGCCTACCTTATATATCTGAGTTTCTAACACTGCCCACACCCCCATCGTACTGATACAGGCTGTGATACAGGCGACAACCGCATCACAGCAATAATGTGGGGCTGTGGGGCAGGTTAGCCCCAGATGGTGAAGGTTCCCTCTCCCCCTGTCGTGTGCTTTTTCAACAGCAACTACACCATAGTGACAGCGCAGAATCAGACCACTGTTTTTGGACCACTCAACAGCAAGGCCTCACCAAGACTTTGAGTAGCAGTATGAATACAACTTTAAGGCTGTCAGTCCCTCAGGCAAAGAACTGTCACTTCAATGTTCTGTACAACTTCTGGCAAACTGTTGGCACTAAATACATGTTAAACGGTAGTAAAGCAAGCCCTCACGTAGAGGTTGTAGTTATGTCCTCCAAGCAACAGTAGAAGTTGTGGGTCGGCCATTTTGGTTCTCCAGAGAGGAAAGGCCAAGAAGTTTTGGGAGCCCTGTTCTTAAGGCATTGTTGACTTTTTGCCCACCAGGTCCACCCCCAATTGTCTTTCGATCTGCAAACGGAATGACATACCCTCCAACATCTCTCCAATGAAAATAGGGATGTCCCATTCCACAATGATAATTTTACTATTTATACCCTAACCGTCTTACTGGGTTGCCCCAGCACTCTGGGCAGATTCCAACATATATAAAAACATAATAAAACATTGGAAAACTTCCCTATACAGGATTGCCTTCAGACGGCTTGAGGGCCAGATAACTCCATACCCTCCAACATTTCTCCAATGGAAATAAGGACATCCTAAGGAAAAGTGGGACATTCCAGGATCAAATCAGGAACTGGGACAGCTTCTCTAAATCAGGGGCGCCCCTGGAAAATAGGGACACTTGGAGAGTCTGGAATTACCAGCCACCGGACTATAAGAAAATATAACAGAAGATTTGGATTTAAGAGTGTCACTTGACTAGGTAAGGTAAAGGGACCCCTGACCATTAGGTCCAGTCGCGGACGACTCTGGGGTTGTGGCACTCATCTCGCTTTACTGTCCAAGGGAGCCAGCGTATGGTGTACAGTCATGTGGCCAGCATGACTAAGCTGCTTCTGGCGAACCAGAGCAGCGCACGGAAACGCCATTTACCTTCCCGCCGGAGCGGTACCTATTTATCTACTTGCACTTTGACGTGTTTTTGAACTGCTAGGTGAGTAGAAGCAGGGACCGAGCAACAGGAGCTCACCCCTTTGCGGGGATTCGAACCGCCGACCTTCTGATCGGCAAGCCCTAGGCTCTGTGGTTTAACCCACAGCGCCACCCACGTCCCTGTTACTTGACTACTTGGCCTAAAATCCAAATATTCCACTGGCTTGTGGATTAACTGGGTTTCAACCCTCCCTGGGAATGGGTTTTTATTTTCCCTGCTGCTGCCCCTTTGCGACCACATATTTCTACGTCACCATCTGGCTATAAAAATCCACTTTCTGGCTGAAAAAGCCACCTCTCATCCCAAGATGGCTAGGGACATGGGAAGCTGCCATCCCATTCAGTACTGTCTACACTGATCAGCTGTGGCTCTCCAGGGTTTCAGACATGGGTAATTCTTCCCTGGGTCCAGGGAAGCTTGGACCCAGAATCTTGTACCACTGAGCTACATCCTTTCCCCAAATACACGAATACCAAATACACCAATGCATAATTTGAGCTAATCATTTGCAGGCATAGTGATGTAATGAATATACAGGAAGAGGAAGGAGAATTAACATTGCACATCTTCTCAGTATTTACCCTGAGACACTGTGGTACTCAGGTTCACAGCAAAACTATGGAAATAGGCGCATTGGTCCATTGATCCTTTTGTAAGCACTTCTTGGGCTTGAATGCAGGAAAAAGATTTTGTATTTATTGTTGCACAATGTTTTATTGATTTTTTATTTTTTGGAAAAAATATTGTGAGCCACTTCCTGATGAAAGGAATGTGGGACATGAATTATTAAAAATAAAAATAAAATTTAATACATTCAACTCCAGGTTGGGCAAAAGCCTTTGGAGTGGCAGTGGGACATTAATATGTATTCATTTCATCATTATTAATATTCCCTCAATTAACACTTGCCTCCAGGCGTCCCCTAACTCAGTTGCTCAGCACTGCCAGCTTGCAGAACAAGTTTAGCCAGGACTGCTCCAGGAGGAAAAGGTGAATGCATAGGTCTTCCCCATAAGCAATGAAATTGTGGGCTCTGGCAATGCAAAGCAGGAAGTGACATCAGAACGACGGGACAGAGAGAGCCTTAAAACCCTCGTCTGGATTCTTCAAGGGCTAATCTTTCATCATCTTAAAAAGTAGAGACATCACCTTGCCAACAAAGGTCCGTATAGTAAAAGCTATGGTTTTCCCAGTAGTGATGTATGGAAGTGAGAGCTGGACCATAAAGAAGGCTGATCGCCGACGAATTGATGCTTGTGAATTATGGTGCTGGAGGAGACTCGAGAGTCCCATGGACTGCAAGAAGATCAAACCTATCCATTCTGAAGGAAATCAGCCCTGAGTGCTCACTGGAAGGACAGATCCTGAAGCTGAGGCTCCAATACTTTGGCCACCTCATGAGAAGAGAAGACTCCCTTGAAAAGACGCTGATGTTGGGAAAGATGGAAGGCACAAGGAGAAGGGGACGACAGAGGACGAGATGGCTGGACAGTGTTCTCGAAGCTACCAGAATGAGTTTGACCAAACTGCGGGAGGCAGTGGAAGATAGAAGTGCCTGGCGTGCTCTGGTCCATGGGGTCACGAAGAATCGGACATGACTAAACGACTCAACAACAACAACAATCTTTCATCCAGCCTTCACCAGCAAGGCAGCCTCCACATGCCGTTGGACTCCAACTCCCATCATCCCCCAGCCAGCACAGCTAGGAAGGGTTGGGGCAGATGGGGAGTTGAAGTCCAACAACACATGGCGGGTACCAGGCTGGTAGAGACCACTTTGGCCTTCTCTTCACCCCTGAAGCTCCTCCCTGGCCATTCTCCCTCCACAATCTCTTCTCTCTCTGGTTGCCCTGGCTCATCTTTCCCTTCTTCGCCTGACCCACTCCCTTTCCCCAGCTCTCCTTTATCAGCAGCCTACCATTCCCCAGCTACTAGAGCAGAACACAGATGGGTGGCAGAGCACATCCTTTGCATGAAGGAAAGTTCTTGGCTCAATTCCAGGCATCTCCAGGCAGGGCTAGGAAAGACTCTCCTGCCCCAAAACCCTCGCCAGGCAGTGCGGACAATACTGAGCTGGATGGATCAGTGATTAGATTATGTAACAAACCTAGACAGCATCTTAAAAAGCAGAGACATCACCTTGCCAACAAAGGTCCATATGGTTAAAGCTATGGTTTTCCCAGTAGTGATGTATGGAAGTGAGAGCTGGACCATAAAGAAGGCTGATCACCGAAGAATTGATGCTTTTGAATTATGGTGCTGGAGGAGACTCTTGAGAGTCCCATGGACTGCAAGATGATCAAACCGATCTATTCTTAAGGAAATCAGCCCTGAGTGCTCACTGGAAGGACAGATCCTGAAGCTGAGGCTCGAATACTTTGGCCACCTCATGAGAAGAGAAGACTCCCTGGAAAAGACCCTGATGTTGGGAAAGATGGAGGGCACAAGGAGAAGAGGACGACAGAGGATGAGATGGTGGGACAGTGTTCTCGAAGCGACCAGCATGAGTTTGACCAAACTGCGGGAGGCAGTGGAAGACAGGAGTGCCTGGTGTGCTCTGGTCCATGGGGTCAAGAGGAGTCGGACATGACTAAACAACAACAACAACAAAACAACAGTTTCTAATACTGCTCTACTCCACTGGCAGCATCCCAGAAATGCGGGTGCTGGTTACATGGCACTCTGCACATGCTCAAAGGCATGGCCTCCTTTTTCCGAGGTGGAACCCAGGCAGCCAGAATGTACACTGATTCCGCTTTAGCCTTGCCTGCTGATTGGCTAGCCAAACCTCCCACAGGGACAGCTCTGCGTGGGATGGAAAACGTTTTGCCCGCTGCCCCGAAGCCAGGATGGTAAGTCAAGCCTACAATTAAAGTGACATTTCAGTGTGCATTGTGCCTCACCAATGACTCATTCCTCCGCTGGACGCCACTCCCTGCAAAGCTTCTGGGGACTGTAGCCTATGGAAGCTGGTGAACAGAGGAAAAGGTCTCCCTTTGGCCACGCAGCTGCTCTGCACATCGCTGGCTGGGCCAAAATGCCTAGATCCAAGTCCTACCCTCCGCCAACAAGCCTCAACAGCAGAAAAAAGTTATTTGAATAGCCTGCATGAAATAATATTAATTTTAAAAACTGCAAAGCAATTGGGAGGATGGAACGGTGGGTGCACACTTGTGTGAGTTGGATAACGTAAACATTTAAATATTTCAACAGTGTTTGAAAAGGTAAGGAATGCATAGCATCGTGTGAGCTTTTACATTTTTTATTTATTCGTTGTAAAACGAATCCCCTAGGCGTTGTATATAGACCCCCCCCCCAAAAAAAGCAGAATAAAAACGTAACCATAAAGCCATACTTCCATAAAAGCACAATAAACTTGAGAAGCAACCACATTAAAAAACCAACAGCAGCAGCAGCAACACAACATATGATGGACAGCGCAAAACTAAAAAAAGCCACCAGACACTAAAACCACCAACCACACCAGAGGGACTTAAAGGCAGATTGTAAAAGGCCTGGACAACAACAGACAAGTCTTAACTTGATGCTGCAAAGATAGCAATGCAGGCACCAGGCGAGTTTCCTTAGGGAGAGCATTCCGAAACTGGGATCCCACCTATTAAAGAAGCCCCGAATTACCAGCATAGTAGGTTACTTCCATTTCAGCCTTCAGTCTGCGGTGGAAGCATCTTAATATTCCTTACCAATAATTTGTGCATCACAGTAAAGCAACAGGTCATGATTTAAGACGGCAACCTGGGCAACTCTGCTCCATCCTTCGAGTGCACGGAGGAAGCAAACCACAGTCCTTGACTAACTGTCCTGTCCAAACCATAGCTGTCAATGTTTCCCTTTTTCTTAAGGGAAATTCCCTTATTCCGAATAGGATTCCTCGCTAGAAAAGGGAAAAGTTGACAGCTGTGTGCCCAAACTAGTGTTTGTGGTTTCTTTCACTGCAACAAGCCCCGGCTACAGATCATGGTTTGCTTGTCATGTGACAGTGAATTCCATACACTAATTACCACTATCGAGAAGTATCTGTAGGCATTAAGTTGCTCGGTGTCTAATTGGCTCTGCAAAATGGCAGCAATAGAAAGCTTGCTGACATCTCCCACCTAACTGCTTGGCACTCTGAAGATTCGATTCTGTCACCCAAACATCCAAAACATCCCTACTTCCAAAAAGCAGAGCCCATGAGTCCTGAAACTTGGCTTTTTGTTGCATTCCAGAGAGACGTTTCTCTTCTATACGCACTACAGAAGAAAACATCAGACACTAAATCCAGACTTCCAAGGCCCAGCTGGAATCTCTGTTTATATGTGAGGCTGATGAGTTAGGAGGAAAATGACAGTCGACTCTATATTGGTAACGGGTAGCCCAGGTGTGGGAAAACTTTGTCCCTGAACTACAACACCCATCATCCCCAGCAAGCATGACCGACAACCACTGAGTCCCCACACTTGGGGTTAGCCACCAGAACAAGGATGTGGTCTCGGTCTACATGCCTATATGTTTCCTAGACCTTTCTGCAAAAGTGCAGAATACAAGTGCAATAAATAAATAAATAAATAAATAAATGGATCCAATGATGTTCCTTGTTGCCATCATGGTTTGCAGCGATTCATGGTTCTGATTTCTAGCCTAAACCCATAATCCAGTCAGGCATGCTTAGAGGGCCGGATTTATGATCTAAATCTATTTGCTATCCATTTTGGGGTGTGTTATATCTTGTACTCACAGCTTTCTTGCCCCTTTTGATCTATCTGTAGAAAATGCTCTTACGCATCCTCTCTCAGACACAACATATTCACATTTAATCTTTCCTCATGAGGGAAATTGTTTGTTCCTCTAATCGTTCTTGTCGCTCTTCTCCAAAACTCTTCCGACTCAAAGTGAGGGGCCTGAAGAAAACAACACTTCCCAAGGCCAGGCTGGGAGACATGGGTTCAAATCATTCAGACCTTAACTACTGCAGGATAATGTCAAATAGCTCAGAGCTGCTCAGTTGGTAGAGCATGAGACTCTTAATCGCAGTGCTGTGGGTCTGAGCCCCACTTTGGACAAAAGATTCCTGCATTGCAGGGAGCTGACCTAGATGACCCTTCTGGTCCCTTCCAGCTCCATGATTAAATGATTCTAAGGTGGCAGACATTAGATCTTGCAACTGGATAGGCACAGTGGAAACTGCTGTCACTAAGGCCTGCCTGACCCAGAACATTTTATAGTCCTTTCAGGTGAAAGAACCAATGGCAAGTGAGAGTAGGCAGGTCACAACACGGCACAGAACTATTTCATTATCCGGAGAACCCTCTTACCTGCAGACTGAGAGTGGTTTGCTATGTGGGATAGTTGTGCAAAACCCTGAAGATTCCCAATCCGAGCCTTAGGGCAGGAATGGAGAGCCTGTGGACTCCAGATTTTGTTGGATTCCAGATCCTATCAGCCCCAGGCAGCAGTTGCTAAACAGTCCCTAATTCATTCATAATATTCCTAAATAATCAGATGCTATACAAAACTTAGGGACGCGGGTGGCGCTGTGGTCTAAACCACTGAGCCTAGGGCTTGCCGATCGGAAGGTTGGCGGTTCGAATCCCTGCGACAGGGTGAGCTCCCGTTGCTCGGTCCCAGCTCCTGCCAACCTAGCAGTTCAAAAGCATGTCAAAGCGCAAGTAGATAAATAGGTACCACTCCAGCGGAAAGGTAAATGGCGTTGCTCTGAAGCGGCTTAGTCACGCTGGCCACATGACCTGGAAAAACGGTCTGCGGACAAACGTCAGCTCCCTCGGCCAGTAAAGCGAGATGAGCACCGCAACCCCAGTGTCATTCATGACTGGACTTAACTGTCAGGGGTCCTTTACCTTTACCTTTTATACAAAACTTAAGCACTTGCTTTGCAGGTCAGCCCAGCTAGCTAAGGTCCCAGCATTCCCAGGCTGTGTCCTCTGAACTTTGCAGCAAGGAATATTCATTTGTTCGTTCGTAAGCATCAAGTTCCAATTAATTTTCCCACAATCCTGCCACTTGCTGCTCAGAATACATACTCTCCTTCTGGCCCTCCCATGAAGCCAGCAACACTTTCCTATTTCAGGCTGCTGTCCTGAGCCAATCACAGTCAATTCGATAGTTCAGGGCAGGCCTTTCAACCTTTAATTTATCCTCATTGTTAAGCGGAGTGCTTTTTCATACATTATGCAGAGGGAAACCTAGGTCGGTCCCTGAGTGTGCACTCAGCAGAGAGCCTGCAGCCCATCGCAGGTCCGAGTAGCATGCCTCCACAATATACATGTTTGCAAAACACCTGCTTGTTGCAGCTGCATGCATACATACACAAACATGCATCTAAACAATGCAATATGTCATGGGTAGGCAAACTAAGGCTGGATCCGGCCCAATCACCTTCTAAATCCGGTCCACGGACGGTCCAGGAATCAGCATGTTTTTACATGAGTAGAATGTGTGCTTTTATTTAAAATGCATCTCTGGGTTCTTTGTGGGGCATAGGAATTTGTCCATTATTTTTTTCTTCCAAAATATAGTCCGGCCCCCCACAAGGTCTGAGGGACAGTGGACCGGCCCCCTGCTGAAAAAGTCTGCTGACCCCTGCAGTAAGTGAAGCGGCCCCAGTAGGCACCACCCTAAGGCATGGAGAGGCAAGACTGAATGCCATTAAGGGCCAAACTAGATCTCACATGTGTTAGCCCTGGCATGGATGATGCGCTTAAAATAAAGAGCTGGTACAGGGCTTGGGCGGAGGAGACAAGCCAAACTTGAGGCTCCCACACCTGCTTTTTCGCAATGGGATGAAAGCCCCCAATAGTAACAAGTGTCAAGTCCGAAGCCTGTTATGCTATGCATGCTTACTGGGGTGGGAACCCAACTGAATACAGTGGGGCTTACTAGAGAGTAAAAAGAGACACAGGATGAGGCTGTAAGGGAGGCAGAGCAGATGCTAGTGTGTCACGTGCCAACAGGGAAGTTCTCCTGCACAAGCTCCACTGAAACAAAGGGAACTGCACAAGGGTGCTAACTGGGTTCCACCTCAAGTTAATTATTGGAGGGCGGGGTGCCACCTGGTTCTTGTCTACAGTCACCAAAATGTCTTCAGCTGCCCATGTATTATTTCATTACTTTGAAAGGGCTGAGACTTGGCACTACTAACAGGTCCCAGGGGCTAAATGCCAGCGAATCCTGGCTCAAATTAAGCCGCAGAGACATCATCCAGGTCATGGCAGGCCAAGAGCAAAAGAAAACGGAACTCACATCATTTACAATAAGTGCACATTCATGCTAATAAATGGCCACATGGAGGTGTGATTATATGGATACAGAACAAAAGCCAATTGACTGTATATGTGCATATACTCATAGAAATTCTCCACATCTAGACTCTTCTTCCACCCCCAAATCAGGCCCATTTTTACTAATGCACTAAGTGTGAAATATGCACACATATATATATTTGGAAATGTGAATTCAGCTACACACACAGCTATCAATGCAGGAAGTGAGCACAGATAAACACAGGAGCTTCTTCACAAGCACATACACAGATGTGGAAATCTTCAAGTACCGTATTTTTTGCTCTATAAGACTCACTTTTTCCCTCCTAAAAAGTAAGGGAAAATGTGTGTGCGTCTTATGGAGCGAATGCAGGCTGTGCAGCTATCCCAGAAGCCAGAACAGCAAGAGGGATTGCTGCTTTCGCTGCACAGCGATCCCTCTTGTTGTTCTGGCTTCTGAGATTCAGAATATTTTTTTTCTTGTTTTCCTCCTCCAAAAACTAGATGCGTCTTATGGTCTGGTGCGTGTTATAGAGCGAAAAATACGGTATTTTCCAAATCTGAATGTACAGACAAAGGGAAATGTATAATTATTATTCCTGCCCTTCAAATTAGAACAGACGTGTGCATAGCCACAGAAACATAAAACCAACCACACCGGACACGAACAGACTAGCACAGCCACCTGGGTTTCCTTCGTTCACAATCATTCAGTATAATGATGGAAGCAAACAAAGTGTCCATCCTTTGCACAACAGACTCCTTTCTTCAAAGCTATGCAAGATGGGGGATCTGAAAATGGATTTTCTGCATGGGCTACCGACACTCCCAACTTATCCCTGTGCCTTCATCTCAGCTGAGAATTATAAACAACCCATCCACGGAAGGTTCAGCTGCCTCTCTCCAGCTCACACTACCAAACTCTTTGCCTACGGGGCTTCATCTTCCTCTCTTGTACACACACACACACACACACACACACACACGCCACTTAACACAGATGAGAAACTCCCTGGCACACTTCAACTTTCCTATTTTTGAGGGGGCTATACTAAGTGGATAGGGATGCGGGTGGCGCTGTGGGTAAAACCTCAGCGCCTAGGACTTGCCGATCGCATGGTCGGCGGTTCGAATCCCCGCGGCGGGGTGTGCTCCCGTCGTTCGGTCCCAGCGCCTGCCAACCTAGCAGTTCGAAAGCACCCCCGGGTGCAAGTAGATAAATAGGGACCGCTTACCAGCGGGAAGGTAAACGGCATTCCGTGTGCTGCGCTGGCTCGCCAGATGCAGCTTGTCACGCTGGCCAAGTGACCCGGAAGTCTCTGCGGACAGCGCTGGCTCCCGGCCTATAGAGTGAGATGAGCGCACAACCCTAGAGTCTGTCAAGACTGGCCCGTACGGGCAGGGGTACCTTTACCTTTTATACTAAGTGGATGAGCACAAACTTTGCTCCAGGTCATCGCCACTGAAAATGATCAGGGAGCAAGGGACAGGTAAGACTCCTACCTGAGATCGTGGGCAGCCACTGCCAGTCTGAGGAGACAGCACTGGGTGAAGAAGAACCAACAGCCTCATCTAGTCTTAAAGGTAAAGGTAAAGGGACCCCTGACCATTAGGTCCAGTCGTGACCGACTCTAGGGTTGCGACACTCATCTTGCTTTATTGGCCAAGGGAGCCGGTGTACAGCTTCCGGGTCATGTGGCCAGCATGCTTAAGCCGCTTCTGGTGAACCAGAGCAGTGCACGGAAACGCTGTTTACCTTCCCGCCGGAGGGGTACCTATTTATCTACTTGCACTCTGAAGTGCTTTCGAACTGCTAGGTTGGCAGGAGCAGGGACCAAGCAATGGGAGCTCACCCCGTCATGGGGATTCGAACCACCGACCTTCTGATTGGCAAGTCCTAGGCTCTGTGGTTTAACCCACAGCGCCACCCGCGTCCCACTAGTCTTACACGCACATAAATCAACTCTTTCAAAGTGATTCGGAGCTATAACAGCAATCACAAGCATGGAAACAGAGTGCTGGTCATTCCAGGTTAACTTTTGAAAAGGTGCAATTCTATTGGGCTCCGCAACCTTTTTAAACCATTCCTAAAAGTGACCGACTTCCCCCAGTATAACCTTCAATGTTGCCATTGGTATGGTGTTTTCCTCGAGGGCCCTTCACAAACATGATACTTCCCCCAACATGACTGTTCTCTCCTTAATGTGCGCAAAGCTGCTTGCCTCTGCCCCCCACCTTGCCAAAAAAGGCTTTCACCTGCAAGCTCTGGCATCAAGAGCTTGAGACAAGACTCCCCAGACCAAACTTCTCCAAGTGCAGCAGTGCGAGCACATTCTGAATACACCCTTCCTTGTCTTGGACAACCCGCATGGGGGAATTGTCAATATTAAATACTGTGGCTGCCTGATCTCCGAGAACATGATTAATTACGGGTTCTACCACACACACACAAAATTAATCTTCACTCCAGTTTCTGTCTGTATTTAAATGAGTTCCCATGAGGGAAGGATGAAGCAGCCCAGAGGAAGGATAGGGCCCTGCCTCACACATCTTCCAGCATCCCCAAGGATTTCAAAGGTAAACAATGGCCACCTTCCTTTTATCCTCCAGAAAATGCTACAAGCTATGTCAACTTCGTACATTCTAGCTCCTCTTAACTAGGGCATTGAGACCCTTAGGAAGATGCTCCCATTGTCTACAGTACGGTTTCTCATGCACAACAGCGGGGGGGGGGGGAGAAAGACACAGAGATGCACACACAGTCAGTCCCCCTTTGCAAACTGGTGCTCTCCTCCTCTGTGTGCGTTTCAAAAGCTTCAGCCCAGGCCGCTGGTGTGACCATTGCTGAAATGTCTGAAATAGAAAACACCTCTTTGCTGCAAGAGGTGGCAACAGAGATCAATCGGAGGCATGCCTCCGAGCCAACCAGACTATTCCTGGAGGTGTGGTCTTCTTCCCAGGTTCAGCTTTTAAACACCCCTGCCGCTTGCTGTCTGCCGGAATTCCAAAATTCTCCATCATACACTGTTCCAGCAGCTAATTACAGTCTTCTTGTCTTCTTGAAACAGCTCTCCCCCCCCCACCCCAGCCACCCCTCCGCCTTTGCACTATTCAAAGAAGAAGCCTCCTTCTTTGTCTTACAGCGTAGAAAACCATCTCTCTGCACTCCTTAAGGCAGCTGTTTTGGGGGAGGAGGGAGGAGAAATTCCTGGAGATAAGAAAGCAGGGCGCATTCAAACGTCCATGCAAGTAAAAGGGATTCGTGTTGCGATCCTCTGCATGTTTACTCCAAATCTCACTATGTATGCTCAGTGGGCATTACTCCTTGGTAAGCGTGCTAAGGATGGCAGCTTCCAGCTCTGATCCTCCCTGCTTAGAGAAATGCAACCTTTCCAAGTATCCCAAACACCACACACCTTTTGGTCCATGCAAGGAGGGGCCTTGTTTATAGTTTCAAAGCACTCTCCAGTCCCCAAATGCCAATGCAACCCATATCTACAGGTGATGCCCTCCCACAGACTGCTAGCTACCTATATGACCATGAGGACAGGCAGGCGATCATGTCTCAGCTCAAGCGAGCCCAGATTCCGCATCCTATACATCAGGGTTTCCCAAAACTTTGGGTCTCCAGCTGTTCTTGGGACTACAATTCTCATCATCCTTGACCACTGGTCCTGCTAGCTGGGGATGATGGGAGTTGTAGTCCAACAGCAGCTGGAAATAGCAGTTTGGGAAACCTTGCTCTACATGTATGCTATTTCCCCATATACCCAGTACCCAAGAACCATAGTCACCTGGGCATACAACAAGCGAAGGGAAGCTGTGGTCCTCCGGATGTTGTTGCACTACAACTTCAATAATCTGGGGCTGATGGGAGCTGGACTCCATTAACATCTGGTCCCCCTTCCTGATGTACAACATTTCCTAAAAGGGTGTACAGTGGTACCTCGGGTTAAGAACTTAATTCGTTCTGGAGGTCTGTTCTTAACCTGAAACTGTTCTTAACCTGAGGTACCACTTTAGCCAATGGGGCCTCCCGCCGCCGCCGCGCGATTTCTGTTCTCATCCTGAAGCAAAGTTCTTAACCTGAGGTACTATTTCTGGGTTAGTGGAGTCTGTAACCTGAAGCGTCTGTAACCCGAGGTACCACTGTAATGCCACCAACTTGGCCAACGTTACTGTAGCATCACTACGTCTCTCCCATATGAACCTCACAGCACACACCCCAGTCTGTGCTCCTATATATCAAATCACCTGGCATCCTGGAAGCTAAGTCACAAGTCAATGGTCTGGCCCACCCACTGGCCAGACCATCCTCCTCCGTTGGGTCAGTGTCTCTCATACCCAGATCATCTGCAGCCTTGACAGCCACTTCGTAAGTGAAGAACCTGGTCCACACTTTGGGAACTTCGTTGATGAGGTGTCAACCAACACCCTTGGCCCATCTTGGCCTTGTATAAGTGTGTGTGTGCGTGTTTTTCACCTGAGCCCAGGTAAGCAATACAGGCCACACCTGAGGTGGGGAACCTGTGGCCTCTCTGATGCTGTTGGACTCAAGGGATGATGGAAGTCCAGCAAAATCTGGCAGGCCACAGGCTCCCAGTCCCTGGGCTATACCTGGGTTTGCTCACCCTCCTCCCTGGTACCCAGATCCCCTGGCATCCCACCACCAGGTCGGTACCTGGGCACCCCCACCACTAGGCCATGGTGCCAGGGGCAGGGGGGTCTTCCCCATATCCGGCTGCACCCCACACTCAGCCCGCTGCAAACCCCCTACCAGTCCCCCCCCCCCGCACTTCTGCCCCACTGACCTGTTCAGGTCCCTGGAAGCAAATCCGGCACTGCGGGGTCCTCATGCCACTATCCAAGCTGCTGCTAAGCGACACCGAGTCCAAAGCTCCCCCTGCCCCGCCCGCCGCGGGCTGCTGCCCGGGCTGTTGCCCGGGGGGTTGGGGTCGGGGGTCCTTCTCCTCCAGGGCCAGGCTCCGCGGCCGGGTCTCGGCGCCTCCGCCGCCGTAGTATTCGGCCTCATCGTCCTGCCGGGCCGAGCAGTCGGCGAAGGGGGGCCAGCCGCAGCCGCTGCCGCCCAGCGCCCCGCGGCTTCCCCCGGCTCCCGGCTCGGGCTCCGGGCGGCCCCGCCGCATCAACACCAGCAGCTTCAGCTCGTTGAAGAACATGCGGATCCGGTACTTGAACATCATTTACCTCCCCCGGTGGCGGCGGCAGCAGCAGCAGCAGCAACGACGACGGCGGCAGCGTTCAGCTTTCTTGGGGGGCGGCAGGAGGGGGACGGGGGACGAGAAGGGTAAGGGGCCAAGGGCGCCTAGCTGTGCCCCTGCCCCGCATCGGGGGACGGGGAAGAAGCGGAGGAGAGGAGCGGCAATGGGGAGCACCGGGGGCCGCAGAGGGGCGAGCGGGGGGCCATCCTCGGGACCCACATCTCGGGCACAAAAGGCGCCGGCGCTGGGAGAAAGGAAGGCTGCGCGTTTACAGGTGTGTGCAGGGTACCCGGGGTGACGGGGCGCAGGGAAGGAACGAAGGGGAGCTGCCGGGGGCGCGGAGAAGAAAGGCCTTCCGGAGGGGTGATGGCGAGGGGGTTAATCCTGGGACGGGGGAGTCTCTTGCTGGGGGTCTGGGATAAGGGCAGGGGGGTGAGGAGGGGGTACGACGGGTGGGCCTGGCCAGAGGCGCAGGGGATGCGCTGGGGCGAAGGCGCAAAGGCGGCCGCGGTGGGCGAGAGGCGCGCTCCGCTCCCTCCCGGGGCGGGTCTGCCTCCCCTAGGACGCGGCGCGTTCCGTAGGTCCCTCTCGGACCCCTCTCGGACAGCCCGCGTCCGGATTCGCGGGGGCCATGGCTGGCAGCGCGAGAGGAAAGCTTTCCGGGCGTCCGGGGCCTGCGAGCGGCTCCGCAGAGGAGCGCGGAACTGGGGCCGGGTGGGTGGAGGCGGCCGAGGCTCCGGCAGCCAGCGCGCCGCGATCGCTCCTTCTCCTCTCGGCTCTTCCGCTGCTGCCGAGCGCGGACGAGGCGACTCTTACTCTCCGGGACGTGGAGCGCGCCTAGCCGCCGCCGCCGCCAGGCCCTTGTCCGCCGCCTCCTCCCCTCGGGGGGCCGGCTGGGCAGCTGCAATCGCAGGCGGCTCTTTTGTCTGCAGAGCTACGGGCATGTCCGCTCCCTCCTGCAGCCGCAGCCGCGCCAGCGGGCCTGGAGAAGCCGCATCCCGGCTCCGCTCGAGCCGATCTCCCGCAGGAAGGCAGGCGGGCGGGCGGCGTTCGGCCCCAAGCTTGGCTCGCCTGGATCGGGTGTCGGCGTCGGCGCGGGGCGCGCGGCTCCGGTTCTGCGGCGGCCCCTGGCGAAGCCGCGGCTCTTTATACGGCCGCCCCCCGGCATGCAACAGGGCTTCGTCCCCGGGCGCCCCCCACCGCGCGGGGTTGCCAGCGGCCCCTACGCAGCCTCCTGCAGCCGCCCCCGAGGTCCGGGGGCTGGGGCGCGCGGCAGCCCGGATGGCAACGGTGGCAGCGGCAGCGGCGGCTCAAGGCTGGGGAATATGGCTTCTCCTTCCGGTACAGCATGTTAAATAAAACATTTCGGGAGGAGAGCGAGCGAGCGAGCGAGCGAGAGCGCGGAGCGGGTGGCTGGATGGATGGATGTCTGCGCGGGGAGGGGACTCCGGGGCTCAGAGGCGGGCCGGCGGCGGCCCCAAACCGAGGGGCTGGTGCGTAACCGCTGCGCCACCGACCTCGACCACGTGGAGGGGGGAGAAAAATGAGTCCCCGGGAAATGTGAAAAGTGCCCGGGCAGACATCCTCCTCCCCTTTCCCCCCATCCAGACACATCTGAAAGATTCCTAGATAGAGGCAGGGGAGGGGTTTCGGGGTGGGGGGGAGAGAAAGAAGCCATTTTATTTTATGTTACATTTTTATTTTATATATATTTTTTAAGAAAACCGGCTTGCTATATCCATCTGGCTGATAAAATCACATCTCTAAATGCGACCTTTTGGAGAGATGGTTGGAATCCGCGGAAAATCCGCACTAGAAACCAGCAGCGTACCTTTCCCTTCCCCAGGAGGAAGGAGACTGGCAGTATTTGCGCCCTGACCCAGTTTGCACCTTGGCCAATCCTGTGTGTAGGATTCCAGTTCTACTGAACTATCGGAATAGGAATTTGCCTCCACCTGCTAAAGCTCCATACACGCCTCACTATGCATATGGAGCTCAGGGTGTGGTGCTTAAGAACAAAGAGACTTGAGATATCCATAATGACACAGATTTTTAGTGGGGGTGGGGGTGGGGGTGCCGAAAGAGAGGCATATGGCATCCCGTCCTCAGCCTCACCTGTATTACAATACACCTGCTTTAGAGCTGAAACATGAAGTTTGGCAAGCGTGTCAGAATCAAAATTTGACAAGGATCCTTCCCAAAACAATGTCAGCATCCGTTACAAGGCTGAATTGCTCTTCCAATCACATGACAAAAAACGAATGACAGCTGTCTTCTCTGTTAGAGTAGAGGTTTGCGTAATCCAGAGAAACCTGCTTTAAGTCAGGGGTGCAATTTAACTCAATAATTCTGAGTGCCCACAGATGACACCAGGCATGTACAATTCTAGTTTCTCACAGGCCATCAAACACTTGACATTAAATACCCAGCCCCCCAAAAATGTATTTTTAAAAAACAGAGCCTGATGTAAATGGGGCTGGGTGTGTGTCTAAACCGATTGTTCATTTTCTAACTATTTCTATTGTTTTCTGTTTACCCAGGGGTAGCCAACATGTTGCTGTCCAGATGTTGCTGGCTTGCAGCTTCCTTCAGCTGCAGCCAACATGGCCAGTGCCCAGCGATGGGGGAAATTACAGTCCAAAACATATGGAGAGTCCTGTAAAAGGTTAAGTATCAAGACCCCAATATAGAAATAACGGGGTAGTTTAGGCCCAACTGAGCCCCCCCCCACACCAAATTCCATGCCTGGTTTAAGTCCCATTGAAATGTGTTCCGTCTTATTTGGCCAAAGCATTTATTCCCCGCTCTCAGGGCCGCTGTCAATGAGGCACATTATTTGCAACTAAGGCTGCAATCCTAAACACACTACGGCATGGACACATTCCACTGAACTCAGCAGGAATAGTTTTGGGTAAAGGAGTTTAGGATTGCAGTGTATGTCCCACACATTTGAGTAAGACTTAACCAGAACAAACATTTCCTGCTATTTTTGAGGTCGCAGAAATTTGCTATTTACAACCCTGTCCTCAGTTCCACTGAGTTCCCATATATGGTAGGTGTGTATAAAATTTCTGCCTTCATTAAGTATTTTGGCTAAGCTTGACTCTCGTAATGCAAATCTCAGCACAGCCACACGGATTTAGAGCTGAGTCCAGGGAGAGCTCAGTGAGGGACCCTGGAAACAGATGACGGCTTGCTATGTATTATTACATTTCTGTCCCAGCTTTCCTCCATTCATGGCACTCCCTCATTGCAGTCCTGGGACATGGATGCTCGCGAGCAGGGATGGGGAGACTGGGCGAGAATGGAGCTTTACATGCATGTGTGCTTGTGTAAACCTTTAAAAAATGTATTTTATTTATTACTAGCAGCCTTGCACCTGTCATTGCTTGGGAATTCTAAGAAACCAAAAAATCAGTGCACTTTGATAGTTCATTCTGCCATCTTGATTCAAAATGGTGTCCAATTGTATCCAAACAGAGATGGAAACCACCTCTTTTCTTTCTGGAACCATCCTGCCAAATTTGGTTATGGTATCTTAAGAGGTTGGGACACGGGTGGCGCTGTGGGTTAAACCACAGAGCCTAGGACGTGCCGATCAGAAGGTTGGCGGTTCGAATCCCCACGACGGGGTGAGCTCCCGTTGCTCGGTCCCTGCTCCTGCCAACCTAGCAGTTCGAAAGCACGTCAAAGTGCAAGTAGATCAATAGGTACCGCTCCGGTGGGAAGGTAAACGGCGTTTCCGTGCGCTGCTCTGGTTTGCCAGAAGCAGCTTAGTCCTGCTGGCCACATGACCCGGAAGCTGTATGCCGGCTCCCTCGGCCAATAAAGCAAGATGAGCGCCGCAACTCCAGAGTCGGTCACGACTGGACCTAATGGTCAGGGGTCCCTTTACCTTTACTTTATCTTAAGGGGTGCCCCAAATGCATAGGCAAACAACTTTCCAAAATATACCATAGATTACATTACAACATATTCGGACCCCTATCTCAGCAGCGTCTACACTGCCTTGGTCATGTACACAGGAAGGAAGATGGCAGGATCCCCAAGGACGTGCTCTGTGGGAGCTGGTTTCAGGTACCAGGCCTGTTGGCAGACCAAGACTGCCTTACGAGTAAATATGTCTGCAAACATGACACAAAGACTGGCAACATGAATCCCACCGTGTGGGAATCCCTTGCAGACAACTGCAGCACCTAGAATCATAGAATCATAGAGTTGGAAGAGACCACAAGGGCCATCGAGTCCAAACCCCTGCCAAGCAGGAAACACCATCAGAGCACTCCTGACATACGGTTGTCAAGCCTCTGCTTAAAGACCTCTAAAGAAGGAGACTCCACCACACTCCTTGGCAGCAAATTCCACTGTCGAACAGCTCTTACCTGGAGACAGATAGGCTATGTATCCACAACAATGACCAGAGGAGGAATGACGGCTGGGAGGAGTGCAGAGAGAAGAGATACTATGGTGTACTTGTAGCAGCAAAACTGGACGCCCCACCTGCAATAAAACATGTCTCTCCCATATCGGTCTCTATGGCCACAGCAGCTGCTGTAATGCTCCTATGGTTTGACTTCAGCCCATAGGATGCCAACAACATCATGTATTTTACACTTCCTTCAAGAAGCTCCAGGCGCTGCCCATGGCTGTGCTGCCTCATCTTATCTGCACAACAACCCTGTGAGGTACATTAGGCTGAGGGAGAGAGAGACTGGTCATTCATGGCTAAGTGGAGATATGAATGAACCTTTGTCTCCCCAGTCCCAGTCTAGCATTCTAATCAATACACCACCCTGAGAATACAGAAGTCTCTGTTGTGTTAGATGGAAAAGACAGAAGTAGAGGAAGAGCTTAAGGCAGTGGTTTTTAACCAGTGTGCCGTGCCACCCTGGGGTGCCTTGAATGATGGTCAGGGAGGCCCTGGGCAACACTGGCCTCTGTCCCTCTTTCCTCCCCTCTCTCCTCTGATGCCTCTCAGATCTCTGCCTCCCAAAGGCTTTCACAACTGTTTGTTGCAGCAGCCCTGGCTACAAGCTCCCCAGGAGAATGGAGCCTTCTGGGACTGGCCAGAGGGTGCTGGTTGCCAGGAGCTGAGGTGGTCTCAGAATAAGCAGACAAGTGGGTGAGGGAGCCCAGCCAGCCAGTCCACCAGCCCTTGCTGTTGGGAATGGAGTATGGACAGACAAGACCACTGCAATGTGCTCTATGTGGGGCTACCTTTGAAGGTGACCCGGAAACTACAAGTAATCCAGAATGCGGCAGGTATACTTGTGACTGGGAGTGGCCACCGAGACCATATAACACTGGTCCCGAAAGACCTACATTGGCTCCCAGGACGTTTCTGAGCACAAATCAAAGTGTGGGTGCTGACCTTTAAAGCCCTAAACGGCCTCGGTCCTGTATACCTGACGGAGGATCTCCACCTCCATCGTTCTGCCTGGACGTTGAGATCCAGCACCAAGGGCCTTCTGGCGGTTTCCTCACTGTGAGAAGCAAAGCTACAGGGAACCAGGCAGAGGGCCTTCTTGGTAGTGGCACCTGCCCTGTGGAACACCCTCCCATCAGATGTCAAGGCAATAAGCAACTATCTTACTTTTAAAAGACACCTGAAGGCAGCCCTGTTTAGGAAAGTTTTAAATGTTTAATGCTGTATTGTTTTCAATATTCGGTTGGGAGCTGCCCAGAGTGGTTGGGGAAACCCAGTAGATGGGCAGAGTACAAATAAATTACTATTACAGGGGCAGCGGCTGCCCAGAGGACTCCCAAGGAGAGGGCAGAAGAGGCTGAGGGAACACTCCACAAGGGAGGGTGTTTGAGAGAGTGTGAGAGGCTGCCAGCTCAGGGGAGCCACAGGGGCGCCTCAGAAAGAATGTAGTTGGTCAAGGGAGCCGTGGAGGGTTTGACAAGTAAATGGGAAAGGGCAGTGTGTGGCAGGGAGAGAGTGGAGAGTTAGGTAAAGAGGACTAGGAAAAACTGCAGGTCTGGGGAGGGACTTGGAAGAAGGAGCAGGAGGTGGCAAATATGGAGGGGGAGACTTTTCTAGGCATCATCACCAGCCTGGAGGGAGGCAGAGAGGTTGGTGTGGGAGGAGGCAGTTGATGGCAGATGAACCTGTTCAGCAACACCATGGAGTGAAGAAGGGAGTGATCCACAAATACAGACACGCATGACGAGGGTGGGTTGGGTGTGGAGGAGAATCATCGCCGTTCTGGTTAGCATCTTCCTTGCCAGAGTGCTCTCAGTGTGCCTGCTTTACGGAGCAAGATGTTCCCAGGAAGGCTAGGAAGAAGACAGTTCTCTTCCCCCAAGGATGTTACAGTCAAAAGTGTTGACAGCAGTGGAGAGAGGGAAGAGGGGGAAAGGGAACAAGGAGAGCTGAATGTGAGCAAATTCAACGGCCCACACTTGGGCTTCCTTTGAGCCTGGGGTGGCAGTTGAGGGGTTAAGGCAAAGGCCTCTGCTAAAGGCAAGTTTTTGGAGGGGTTAGAAGGAAGCGGAAGAGGGGGAGCCATGCAAGTGTTCTGGGAAAGGGCTGCAAGCATGGGGGGCAGCATGGGAGAAAGGTGGGGTAAGCAGGACACTGACAAACCTAGACAGCATCTTAAAAAGTAGAGACATCACCTTGCTGACAAAGGTCCGTATAGTAAAAGCTATGGTTTTCCCAGTAGTGATGTATGGAAGTGAGAGCTGGACCATAAAGAAGGCTGATCGCCGAAGAATTGATGCTTTTGAATTATGGTGCTGGTGGAGACTCTTGAGAGTCCCATGGACTGCAAGAAGATCAAACCTCTCCATTCTGAAGGAAATCAGCCCTGAGTGCTCACTGGAAGGACAGATCCTGAAGCTGAGGCTCCAATACTTTGGCCACCTCAGGAGAAGATGAGACTCCCTGGAAAAGACCCTGATGTTGGGAAAGATGGAGGGCACAAGGAGAAGGGGACGACAGAGGACGAGATGGTGGGACAGTGTTCTCGAAGCTACCAGCATGAGTTTGACCAAACTGCGGGAGGCAGTGGAAGACAGGAGTGCCTGGCGTGCTGTGGTCCAGGGGGTCACGAAGAGTCGGACACGACTAAACAACTTAAACAACAACAACAAGCAGGACACTTCTGGGTGACTTATGGGTGAAACGAGAGAGCATAAATAGGCAGCATAGGTTACAACAATCTGGTAACTTACAGGTGACATTAATGTGTCCAAAGGATAATTTATTCTCTTCAAACCTGATGCTCCATAATCATGCTCTAGTGTGCCCCAGTGGTTAAAATTATGTCCTTTGGACAATAGGAGCTATTGCATTATAACCATTTAGGAGATCTTCAGGCGTTCAGTCTTTTATGGAAAGACCATAGCTCAGTGACAGAGCATCTGCCCTCCATGCAGAATGTCTCAGATTTAATCCCTCGTGTCTCCAGGTGCTGCCAGTTAGTGTAAAAAATATTCAACTAGGTTGACCCATGGGTGTGATGGGATCTTGACGGCTTCCTGTGTCCCCGTGGATTTTAACTGGATTTAAGAAGAGGCTTTTTAACTACCTTTCTAAAGAATGGTTTTAATTTATTTTGTCCATGGCAGACCAACACGGCTACCTACTTGAATCTGGATTTAACTGTTATCTTAAAGTGACGTTACTATTTATTTATATGCCGCCCAAAAATGTCAGCCCAAAAATGTCCCGCAAAGCAGCTTGCAAAGAAACGACACGCAAGCGCCAATACCAGCCAATGAAAATTAAAAACAAGATCTGAACACTTCCTCGTTAATTTCTTTTTATTAATTTTCTATGCCAAACAACAACAAACAAAAAAAGAAAAAAAGAAAAAGAGAAATGAACAAAACACACCAATGAAAAAAGAAAAGAAAAACATCAACCAAAACAGAAAATATAGGCACACTTAGAAGGCAAACATCAGTTAACAGAAATAATAGTTGACTTCCCTCCACCTCAGTTTTGGGTTATGTGAAATAGTAATTCTGTTCTGCAGTTTTCATTTTATATCATCTGAACATCGCAAGGGTTATATCAAACCTACTGTGATTTTTATATCTCTAGAATTTGATTCCATATATGTTATAAATTTAGTCCAATCGTCAATAAACTTTGTACCTTTTCGCTGTCTGATATTCTGTGTCATTTTTGCCAAATCCATATATTCAAATAATTTAGTTTGCCAATCTTTAACAGTCGGTATATTTGGGGTTTTCCAATTTTTTGCTAACAAGATCCTGGCAGTTACGATTGCGTATTGGAACATTATGTGATCCTCTTTTTTAATCTCGTCTCCAATCATTCCCAGAAGAAAAGCTTCGGGTTTTTTAACGAAAGTGTATTTAAGTATTTTTTTCAGTTCATTGTATATTGATTCCCAAAATTTTTTGATTTCTTCACACTTCCACCACATATGGAAGAAGCTTCCTTCTTTGGTTTTACACTTCCAACACCTATTATCTCCAGTCTTATACATTTTTTGCAGTTTCACAGGGGTGATGTACCAACGGTACATCATCTTTTCCATATTTTCTCTGAGGGTGGTGCAAGCTGTAAATTTCATTCCTTTAGTCCACAGCCTCGTCCATTTGTTAAAATCCAAATTGTATCCGAGGTCTATTGCCCATTTTGTCATAACATCCTTAACCTCCTCGTCCTTGGTGAGATCTGAACACTTCCTAAAGAGGGGGGGGCAAATGCATCTGTGGGCCGGAAAGGCAAAGGACATTCCCCATGCAAAAATAAAATAAAATATTGAGAGCAAGAGTAAATATGGTTCCTGTGGAGACTTCCAGCAGTTTCTCCTCTGCTAATTATTATTATTTTTTATTTATACCCCGCCCTTCCCGGTTCAAAAACCGGGCTCAGGGCGGCTAACAACAAATTTAAAACACTTAATTATAAAAGCAGCATAAAATACAGTATAAAAACATTAACAATAAAATTCAAAAATCAATTTAGGGGAAATAAGCATTGGATAATCCCCAGGACTAGCTGGCTGAATTGGTCCTACTTGGGCCAGCGAGGAGGCCAGGGGAGAATTAGCTGTGGGGTCTCGGAGCGGGTGATCTTCATAAAAGGGGAGGGGGAGGGAAGAGAAGGGAAATAAAAGATCAGGCTGAATTCAAATTAAAGGCCAGGTGGAATAGCTCTGTCTTACAGGCCCGACGGAAGGAGGTTAAATCCTGAAGGGCCCTAGTCTAGGCAGAAGCTCCTCCTTCTCAGGGTCCCAGGCAAGAGGATGGGGCAAGGCAGGTGCAAAAGCCTGCCCCTAATGGTTCCAGTAGTCTGAAATCTATCTTTCTATCTGTCTGTCTATCCTTATTTTGGGGGCAGGGGTGCTCCTCTTCCCTGGGCCTAGCCTCTACAACAGTGCAGCACCTGTTTACAGCTAATCCATTCACAAGATTCCTGTCATGGTCCGGTCTACATGCAATCAAAATCCCGGCTGAGGATGTCGGGACCGAGGGCAAGATGGCGGGGTGAGAGCAGGAACGAGAGTCCAGCAGCCAGGGGTCTGAGGGTCAGGAAGCAGGGAGTCACGAAGTCAAGGGTTTGAGGGTCGAGAAGCAAGGAGTCACAAAGTCAAGGGTCTGAGGGTCGAGAAGCAAGGAGTCACAAAGTCAAGGGTCCGAGGGTCAAGAAGCAAGGAGTCACAAAGTCAAGGGTCCGAGGGTCGAGAAGCAAGGAGTCACGAAGTCAAAGGTCCGAGGGTCGAGAAGCAAGGAGTCACGAAGTCAAGGGTCCGAGGGTCAAGAAGCAAAGGGTCAAGAAGCCGAGGTCCAAGGATCAGGAAGCAAGAAGCCAAACACAGCAAGGCAGGAAACATGTTGCTGTGGCAAAGAGCTGAAGCGAGATGCTGACCTTATATCCCTTCCCGGCTCTTGCCACCAGGTGCAGTGAGTTACCAAGCAGCCTCACCTGTGTGGCCGTGCCTTGCTTCTCCAGAACAAACTTAGGAAGGCCCCAGTCCTGCGAAGCCCTACTGGTCACAGGGCCTGGCTCCTGCATGCACTCCTGACAGTTCCTTCATCTCTCTCTTAATAAAAAAAAAAACCAAGGGATACATGTTGTAGTTTTCCTGAGTTGTGCCATCTTGCATTGCATTATAGTCACTCGTTAAATTATGCAGCTTTCCTGGGATTTCAACACGTTGAACATCCTTGACGATTGTGCTGCTTTACATACACATGTTAACTGGCCCTTGGATGGTATACCCGTTGCCCTGTGTGTTTGTGTGTGTCTGCTCTGCTTTGCATTCGGCAATGCTGTGGTCCGCTGCATTGTTGCTGTGTTGCGCTGCACTGCCTCACTCATGTTGCGGTTGTTGTGCAAGGACCGTTCACCTTGGAAGTTGTGTTTCGATGCAACATGCAACAGACCTTGGGAGCGTGCACATTCTCATTTGTCCCACGTTGAAAGCTCGTTGGCTTTTGTTTGCCTTCCTTGCTAGGCGTTTGGAAATTTACATTCTGTCCTACAGCAGGAAGATCATGCAGGGCACGATTTGCATGGAAATCCAATAGACTAATTTGCCAGAGAAAACACCACTGGCTCCTTTGACGTGGGGGGCTGTGTCTGGAATTTTTACATGGGCTACAAACAAAAGGAATTGTAGAGAGAGTTCAGGGAGACCCATGTCAACGTTTGCACTTATATGATAGAATTATAGAATAACAGAGTTAGAAGGGATCCCAAGGGTCTTCTAGTCCAACCCCCTGCCCACAGCCGTCCCTGGGTGGGCTGGAACTACCAGCCTTCTGATTTACACCCAGATGCACTGACCTATTGTGCCATAGATGTCTTGACCAATAGCTCAATGAAAACATGAAACTAGTATGCAGAAGCAGCAGCAGCAAAAGAAGCACACATTGGTAATTGGGAAACAAATTAGAAAATGCAACTGCTGGCATCACAGAAGTTGTTCTCCATCTCTGGAACTTGGGATCATCCAAGCTAAAGGTTGGGAGATTCAGGGTAGAGAAGAGTAAGCTCTTTTTCACACATTGGACATAAAACTATGGAATCCGCTAGCACACGAGGCAGTGATGGCTGCCAACTCAGACCAGCTTCCAAAGAGGATTAGGCTAATTTGTGGAGGAGAAAAGCCATCATTGGCTACTTGTCGCAATAGCTATAGATGCCACTATCAGAGGCTGTGGGTGGAGATCATGAGCAGGAAAAGTGCAATCTGTACCGCATTGTGTGATGCAGTTTGGTACACACTGTCGTGCAATGATATGTTACAACATTATGATATCAATCTTGTGCACATTTATTTTATTTTGGGGTGGGGAGCCTGTGGTCAGGTGTTGCTGGCCTACAACTCCCATCATGCCTGGCCATGCTGAAAGGGGTTGATGGGAGTTGTAGTCCAGTGACATCTGAAAGTCCACAAGTTCCCACCCCCCTGTTTTATATATTTATGCACCTTTTTTCTTCATGGCACATACATGGGGTTCCAAAGCAGTTTCCAATCCATGTACTGACCAGGCCCAGGCCTGCTTAGCTCCACATTGCATGCCTTCAGCTCATATCCTTGGATTCCTTTCCAGGAACAAGTACTATTGAATATACAGAGACATATGTCCAAATAAACGTGTATGGAATGGAGCCATAAGATACAGCGCCCTGATAGTTTTGTGTTGGGCAGATTACGTTTCATTGGGTTTCACACTGTGCTGCTTGAATAGTGTACTGTGATAATAAAACAGATTTGTATGGCATGAATACATATAGGTTTCTTGGAGGTATTCCATGACGTACAGATTTGTCTTGCTTGTCTTTGTCAGCAAAGCTGACATTACAGTGAAGGTTCAAAATTTGATAAATAAAGACAGTCCGAGAATGTTGACAGCTCAATATGAATTTTTGCAAATGGCCCAAAACTCGAGAGATACACCGGTGAGCACTGACAGTTGCCTAAATGTGATGTTCATTATTCACTGGTGGATGTCCAGCAAGTGGAAAGATGTATGTTTATTTTCAGGCATAAATAATTAGATATGAGATGATGTGTGTTCTACACCATTAGACTCCTCCAGGCCGCTGACATCCTCTGAGGGATTATGAAGCATGCCTAACTATGTGCTGGATTGTGGCCAAAGTGTCCGGCTAAAACACTGTTATATTTGCAGGTCATTAATTCCACACTTCCTAGGTATCATGGCAAGATAATATCCATACTAGGTCACCTGTTATGACTTCATTGTAAACCTGGCCCACATTATTTCATTGCATTTATAGCAGGAAGCTGAAGTAGTGTCAACCTCTATAAAGGATAAGTGTGCCATCTGTCATGGATACTTCAGCTGAGATTTCTGCATTGGAGCGGGTTGGACTAGATGACCCTTGGGATCCCTTCCAACTCTGCAATTCGATCACTCTAGGACAATATGTTGTTGTTGTTTAGTCGTTTAGTCATGTCCAACTCTTCGTGACCCCCTGGACCAGAGCACGCCAGGCACTCCTGTCTTCCACTGCCTCCCGCAATTTGGTCAGACTCATGTTTGTCGCTTCAAAAACACTGTCCAACCATCTCGTCCTCTGTCGTCCCCTTCTCCTTGTGCCCTCCATCTTTCCCAACATCAGGGTCTTTTCCAGGGAGTCTTCTCTTCTCATGAGGTGGCCAAAGTATTGGAGCCTCAGCTTCACGATCTGTCCTTCCAGTGAGAACTCAGGGCTGATTTCCTTCAGAATGGAGAGGTTTGATCTTCTTGCAGTCCATGGGACTCTCAAGAGTCTCCTCCAGCACCAGAATTCAAAAGCATCCATTCTTTGGCGATCAGCCTTCTTTATGGTCCAAAAATGAGAGGCACAAATACAAGATGGGTGACACCTGGCTTGAGAGCAGTACATGTGAAAAGGCTCTAGGAGTCTTGGTTGACCACAAACTTGACATGAGCCAACAGTGTGACGTGGCAGCTAAAAAAGCCAATGCAATTCTGGGCTGCATCAATAGGAGTATAGCATCTAGATCAAGGGAAGTAATAGTGCCACTGTATTCTGCTCTGGTCAGACCTCACCTGGAGTACTGTGTCCAGTTCTGGGCACCACAGTTCAAGAAGGACACTGACAAACTGGAACGTGTCCAGAGGAGGGCAACCAAAATGGTCAAAGGCCTGGAAATGATGCCTTATGAGGAACGGCTAAGGGAGCTGGGCATGTTTAGCCTGGAGAAGAGGAGGTTAAGGGGTGATATGATAGCCATGTTCAAATATATAAAAGGATGTCACATAGAGGAGGGAGAAAGGTTGTTTTCTGCTGCTCCAGAGAAGCGGACACGGAGCAATGGATCCAAACTACAAGAAAGAAGATTCCACCTAAACATTAGGAAGAACTTCCTGACAGTAAGAGCTGTTCGACAGTGGAATTTGCTGCCAAGGAATGTGGTGTAGTCTCCTTCTTTGGAGGTCTTGAAGGAGAGGCTTGACAACCATATGTCAGGAGTGCTCTGATGGTGTTTCCTGCTTGGCAGGGGGTTGGACTCGATGGCCCTTGTGGTCTATTCCAACTCTATGATTCTATGATTCTATGGTCCAGCTCTCACTTCCATACATCACTACTGGGAAAACCATGGCTTTAACTATACAGACCTTTGTTGGCAAGGTGATGTCTCTAGGAAAATATACTTGCTTGATTTTCCTTTGATGAATGAGGTCGCACAGTTTGAAGGCTCACTAGCTGAATTACTTTAAGATCTTTGGTCCATTTGGAAAAACAAAACAATGAATAAACAAACAAACAAACAAAATCAATGAGGCCAGTTTGCAATGTTATCATTCCCCAAGTCTCTGCTACTTATATATTAAACATGGAATAAATTACTAGCTGAGCCCATATGCTTCAAAATCTTGGTTGGGTGTATGTTTACCTGGGGCTTGTTCCCTTTCTCATGTGCTTTGAAATTTTATTTACTGGGCTGTATGCTCTTTGGTTGCAACTATCCCATATTCTCTAGTCTGTTCCTGGCATTCAAAAAACCAGAAATAAATATTTTAAGATCCTGTAAAGCAAAACTCCTGCTGTGTCTTGGAGGAAGGAACTGTGGCCACCAGACAAATTTTATTTGGAGGGAAGACATAAGGAAAGGATGGGGGCGGGGGGGGGGGACGACACAAGCAGAAGCCTTAGTGTGTAAGTGCAACGATTTCTCCTTATAAATGTCATAGTGTCAAGCCGATTGCTCTCTGCTAGAGTGAGCAAGGCCAGAGAATGCAAAACTCTGTCCGCGGTGCTGAAATCTTGCCACAAGGGCAATTCCCCGAAATGCTGTACCGAAGGCACGAAGCCAGTGGGAGGGACACGGCTTTGTACAGAGCCAAAGCAAAAATACAGAAATGAATACAAAGCCATGTCATCAACCGATGACACAGATATATTGCAACAAATTGTTCTGTCTGTCTGTCTGTCTTTCATTTTTCCTGTCTTCCTTTTGCACCCCTGAACATCTTCAGGTGAAACTCGTAAAATTAGAATATCGTGGAAAAGTTCATTTATTTCAGTAATGCAACTTAAAAGGTGAAACCAATATATGAGATAGACTCATGACATGCAAAGCGAGATATGTCAAGCCTTTATTTGTTATAATTGTGATATTATAGCATACAGCTGATGAAAACCCCAAATTAACAATCTCAGAAAATTAGAATACTAAATGAAATCAGCAAAACAAGGATTGCAAATAGAGCAATATTGGACCTCTGAGAAGTAGAAGCATTCATATGTACTCAGTACTTGGTTTGGGCCCCTTTTGCATCAGTTACTGCCTCAATGCGGCGTGGCATGGATGCTATCAGCCTGTGGCACTGCTGAGGTGTTATGGAAGACCAGGATGCTTCAATAGCAGCCTTCAGCTCTTCTGCATTGCTCGGTCTCATGTCTCTCATCTTTCTCTTGGCAATGCCCCATAGATTCTCTATGGGGTTCAGGTCAGGCGAGTTTGCTGGCCAATCAAGCACAGTAATCCCATGGGCATTGAACCAGGTTTTGGTACTTTTGGCAGTGTGGGCAGGTGCCAAAGTCCTGCTGGAAAATGAAGTCAGCATCCCCATAAAGCTCATCTGCGGAAGGAAGCATGAAGTGCTCCAAAATCTCCTGGTAGATGGCTGCATTGACCATGGACTTAATGAAGCACAGTGGACCTACACCAGCTGGTGACATGGCTCCCCAAATCTCTTTTCTGATGAGAGCAGTTTTTGCATCTCATTTGGAAACCAAGGACCCAGAGTCTGGAGGAAGAATGGGGAGGCACACAATGCCAGATGCTTGAAGTCCAGTGTGAAGTTTCCACAGTCTGTGTTGATTTGGGGAGCCATGTCATGAACTTTCCCATGATATTCTAATTTTATGAGTTTCACCTGTAAGCATGTTGTATGGATGGGTTTTTCTCCATTCTTTCAATGAGCATTTGAAAGGAGAGATTGTCATAATCCCCTTTAATGATCATGCATCTCAGCTCCTTACAATGAAGTAAGGGCTCGTCCATACTGTCGTTCAATATGTTTCTTACTATCGCTTCCTGTACCTCCATTAATTCTCAGTTGTCAATATGGTGCCTTCCTCCAAAACACTGCCTTTTCAGAGTACAGTGGTACCTTGATTTTCAAACTTAATCCGTTCCAGAAGTCTGTTCCAAAACCAAAGTGTTCCAAAACCAAGGCGTGCTTTCCCATAGAAAGTAATGCAAAATGGATTAATCAGTTCCAGACTTTTAAAAACAACCCCTAAAACAGCAATTTAACATGTATTTTACTAACTAACAAGACCATTGATCCATAAAATGAAAGCAGTAATCAATGTACTGTACT